AAATGTTTGCTATTACAATGGTCTTGCTATGCTGGTTAAGGGACCATTCAATCTGCCGATTTACAACTTGGCTCCAGTCTGAGGTTTATATTCAATTCTCCAGCCAAGTTTGTTTGTTTGGGTTTTTTTTTAACCGAAAACTTCACCTAAAAATTATGCATCGGAAAATAATTATCTTAAAAATTACTAAAGGGAAATATTAGGAAAAATAGCCTAGCTTTTTCCTGCTACCCACAATAAACTATTTTCACAGTGTAACTTATTGGTGAACCCCTATAAACTGAACTGTACCTGAGAGTGCTTTCATATAGCTAAGGAGTTATACTATATGGTATAGTAGTATTTAAATCCAAAAATTCAATCCAAGAAGTTCCTTTTGCTTTTTTTGGAACTTCAAAATTGGCACTAACTTTAGATCTCTTTATACCAAGCAATCAACAGCTCCAATGGTATGACTGTGAAGCTGATTTCAAGACTGGGTACCATTAAACTCAAAGTTATAAGCAAATGGACAAAGAATGATTTCCCTCATGGTTATGGCCAATTGTGTCTCTGTTGGTTTCATTCGTTTTGTAGGCTCTGTTCCTTTCAGCCCACATAATTCTCATTGCCATAAAATTCTGGCTAGTTTTGTAAAACAGCCATACATTCATAAAACTCAGTATCACTTTGTGCCTTTCTTCTTGCTCATGTCTCATATCTGTTGACTTTGCGGGCTAATTCTTTGGAGGAATGAGACAGGGCCAGAAGCCCCCACTCTCTCTAGTCCACTACTGGATCCAGGTGTGTGAGAAGTTTGTCTCCTAAACCCAATACATTGTGTTGAGATTGCCCACTTTTGCTCATTTACAAGCAGGCAATAAACAACTTGCCTTGCAATCATTTATTTTAGGAATTCTGTTAGATATTTAGCCTATTAAACTGAAAATACATATTGAAACACTCAATTATAATAAGCCCTCCACTTTCATGGGGATTTGGGGCACAGGAGCCATGAAGAAGTGGGAAAATAATGAATCCCCCCCCTTAAAAACCTCTATAGGAATCTCTAGGACCACCAGGATGACTCTATGGACAACTTCCAATATAAGACCATGCTGGCATATTTTAAAATCTATAGTTATCTATATGTAAGTACTTGATAAATGCTAATAACGTAACCTCGTTGCATATGATATCTTTACCATGGGAACTCTTAGAACGCTTTACTAAAATATCTAAAGTCCATCCCAATAATGCTTGACAGTTCCATTTTCACTTCTATTCCTCCATCCTGACTTTTGTTCCATTACTTTTAGCCAATCCGAACTTTGTTACTCTCAATGTCATTTTTCTTTTTTAAAAAAACTTTATGTAAGTGAAAGATGTAAGAAATTTTGTGGTACTTTAAACACAAGCACATTGAATGTGATATGAGCTTTCCTGGAAAAAGCTACTTTATTAACTTTGTCTTGCTGTTTCTGTAAAAGAGTACCATATATACTTGAGTATAAACTGACCCAAATATACACCAAGGCACCTAATTTTACCACAAAAAAAAAACTGGGAAAACTTACTACTCGAGTATAAGCCAAGGGTGGGAAATGCAGTAGCTAAATTTCAAAACTAAAAATAAAAACAGATGCCAATAAAATTACCTTATATACTTGAGTATAAGCCGACCTGAATATAAGCCGAGGGGGGCTTTTTCAGCCTAAAAACATGCTGAAAAACCTGGCTTATACTTGAGTACATACGGTAGTATGAAAAAAGCATCTGGAATTTATCTTTTTCAAATTCACATCCACACAACATACACAATATTTTGCTTTCAGAATGTTAAAAACTGCTCTTCAAAACAAAAGCAAAAAATTCACAAGATGTCTGAAAAGATCTAAAGGCAGAACCTGCACAGCTGTCAAGGAAGCTAGCAACCAGATGTAACCCAGAGCAGAGAGGAGAATACGCACTATTATGTTGAATGAAAAGTAGAACTGCCCAACAGTCATGTCAAGCATCCAAAGGTTTGAGGATAACAAATTATCTCTCCTACTGAAACATATTTTATAGCATTTTATAAATTTGGGGACCTAGCACATCCCAAGTCCTTAAAGACGATCACAGATATTGAATTTCAGAATAAAGGAGACCAATGTTTGTGTTGTTCAATACAAAGGTTTGATACACTGACAAATGATATTCAAATGTTTCTTAAAGTCTACAAACCAACCACCACTACATTATTATTGGGAGTAAAGAAAACAATAGAGTAAACTAGTAATAAATGAAGTTTCTGAATTTTAACCATTATTCAACTTAGGAGTGAGAAAAGGACTGAGTGAGAGCTGATTGTGACTCTGGGATGCCAGGTTGGTCATTGCTGGACCAGATGAGCATATGAAAGGCTATTTAATCATCAATATATTATTTTTGTACATACTAATTCCTCTAGCAATGCCTCAACATACACAGCAGGTTAATGCAACAATCTTGTGAAATATGTTGAGCGGGGAGCCATTGCATGGTCCAGCAGCACCAAATAAGTTTAATCCCCAGATTTTTGTTAACATTTCCTGACTTAAATATAATACTTGGTCCACATGCTAAACTGGGACTCTATTGCAGCAGAAAACTTGTTAAATCCTAAAGGCTTGCCATGTACCCAACAGTGTCCTGCAGATTAGTTGTGCAAGAGTATGGAGATAAAATGCAAAAAAAGCTAACTGCAGACTCATCACAGTTCCAAGCTTTTACTGTGCTGAAGAAAGTTATAGCACCTTCACTGGCATAAAGGGAACTTATAAAAGGAAAATTCTAAACTCTGTATTAGCATTATATCTTGATTAGACCAATTGAGCTGTCACAAAATTCAATTCAGAGCAAACGTTCTTCAGAAATCCTCACTAGGCTAGATGTACACAAAGCAAAAGGAAAAATAAAATCTGGCTTATATTCAAGTCATGAAAGCTGCATCTAATTACAATCTTAAGATGTGAGAAAGGACTGTAAATATAAACTATATTATGCACAACTTGGAGAAAAGTCAGACATGGGGATTTTTTTTGTCATAAGAAGATTGAAATACTAAGGAGAATAAGTTCTTTTGATGTGTGACTATTTGCACAGAATGCTTAGATGTGTGACTGTATTTCACATAACCAATGTCACAAGTAAAAAAAACTTGCACCAAGAGTTAGTTCACAAGCTACATGAATAACTGGTAGATGAGCCATCCCTTACACATTACAAGAGGACTGACCACTGTTACTGATATTCACAAAATACAGCTTAATAGGCTTGCAGAACTGGATCTACATTATATTGAATGTATCTGATAAATTCATGTAGAACAACAAACAGACAGAAAACACAAAACACAGTTATGGTGATCAATAGTATTGCAGCACTTCTATATATGTGTGCAGGCTTTGCCTTTAAAAAAGACTTCTAATAAGATCCTCCAACACCATGTCAGATGTCACTTCATAAATCCCCACCTTCAGCAATTTGTGTGTGTGTGTGAGAGAGAAAGGGACAGAGAAAGAAAGTGGCTAAAACACAGATTAAGGAGATTGCAGATGTCCCTCCATATTTGTGGTTTTCACTTTTGTGGATTTATCCATGGATTTGATTAAAAATATTCTCTCTGGGAATCTCTAGGTCAGCCACTGAGACTCTATGGTCAACTTCTTTCAATCACGATGGAGGACCTAGTAATTTCTAGAAACAATGCCTCTCTAGGAATCTCTAGGTAATCCACATCTATGATCTGAAAGATCTAAACATTCCTATAGAGTTATATTTTCATATATTAAAAATAGCAATTTATTTAGTCACAGTTTTTCACTTTCATGTCCCTAACCCGGTGAATGTGAAGAGCAGACTGTAATGTGTATTATCATCTCAACAAAATGACATTTTTATGACATATGTTGCCCAATCCAATGTATGTTTACCCAGAGCTAACTTCCATTTGAATAGGATGTACTTCTAGGCAAGAGTATATGTAGGTTTGCAGCCCCAAAGTATCACAATGAAGTTAGATTTTATGAGCCATCTTGAACATGTGTGTGTACGTGCATGTGTGTAAAGAAAGCAATTGACAGTATAGCAACATTTAGTGTCCACTGGCCCTCTCTCACACTATTTATTTATTTACTGTATTTATATACTGTCTTTCTCACCCCTGAAGGACCTCAAGGGGTTTACAACATACTAATGGCAAAATTCAATGCCAACATACAGTAAAAACAAATAAATTATAATAGCTAGTTACTACATATAACTATGACTTAAAATCATTAAAACCATTAAACATAAGTCATAAACAAAATTTAAACATTCAGAAGAAGCATTAAAACCATCCTAGTATAAATACAAGATAATGCCAACAGCAGCACAAGCAGAAACTGACTGGTGGTTGTAGGATTCTTGCAGGAGACATAGCTCTGGCTTTATAGACATCCGCTCTCTGCTGCCACCTTGTGGTAGCTTCTGAACATTCAAAATACTGTATTTCTATATGTATCCAATTTGGTCAGAGATGTGGCACAGCATATTAAATCTAAACAATTCACAACCTCATTAATTTTCAAGGTTTTATGCAGGAATTATATCTAACTGGTGAAGATAATTTACCAATACCTTTGGATGTTTAAATATCTTTTATTGATAACCAATGTATAATAAAGAATGTGTATGCTAATCTTTTTGGCTTAATTGGATGATAAGGTCATGTTAAGGCACTGTTGTAGTGCTGTTCCTGCACACTTCCATAAATAATGGTGTGCTTGCTTCATATACAACAAAACCTAGTCTTTAAGGAGAATTACTACTGATAAAAGAGTTTGGGTTATTTAAAAAAAAATCTGGAAATTAGGCCAGCAAAGGGAGAAGGTTCAGAAGTTGATGAAAGGAAGGGAAACAAATTAAAGGTAAGAGCCTGGTGATATAATTTTTAAAAATGTTATTAGATCATATTTGGCTGTAGAACCGATCTTAGAAGCTTTAACAGAGCCTACCTGTTGGAGTAAGGCAGTCTTGCCAATCGAAATAACCTGCATAAATGCCAGGTTCCAATGAGCCCACTATAGGGTCAGCTTTTAGCTCAATGTACATTTCAAACAGCCGTTGATCCAATTCTTTTAATGAGTCCATGCTCACCTAAAAACAAATAGGAAGAATGTTAATAAAACTAACATAAGCAATCTGTGTGCCATTTTAGTTTATAGAAACACGCCATCATTTAACAATCTCAGAATTTTAAACACTAGGTTTTGAAACAAAAAACAAAACAAAACAAAGCTTAAATTTGTCTAAGTCGATGGATTTCAAGAACCTCAATGGGAAAGTTGTGGCTCATTCCGATTAGGACAGCTAAAGCGTTGTTAATATGAAGGAAACAATCCAAATGACGTGGATGGTAACGCATGCTATCAAAAGAATGAGCCAAAACCAACTCAATGCAGTGGCAAATCTGAGAAATAAGAAGCTCTTTCCTCTGTTTCAGATAAACTGCACTTTAAACATTTATCTGAATAGTAATTGTGATTAATATGAACTGCAACCAGCAAGTAGGCTTGTTTCCATTAACCAGTGTGTTCAGATTCAGACAAGACAAGTTGAGCTTAATGAAAAAAATATTATTATTATTATTTATTTACTAGCCGTCCCCTGCCATGCATTGCTGTGGCCCTGTCTGGGTATAAGTGTTTTATGTATATATATATGTGTATGTGTGTGTGTATATATTTGTGTATATGTGTATATATGTGTTTGTGTATATCTGTGGTTTTGCGCATGTGTTGTAATGTATTTTTTGTTTTTTGGCTTTTAAGTCCCTTCTGTTGTGTTTTTCAGTGTTTTTATGAGTGATGGTCACTCATTGGCCTGATAGGTGTCTTGTGTCCAAATTTGGTGTCAATTCGTCTAGTGGTTTTTGAGTTATGTTAATCCCTCAAACTAACATTACATTTTTATTTATATAGATTTATTTATTTATTTACAGTATTTATATTCCACCCTTCTCACCCCGAAGAGGACTCAGGGCGGATCACAATGTACATATACACGGCAAGCATTCAATGCCGTTTTTGACATACAAGCCATACAGACAGAGGCCACTCAGCAGTTCTTCCTGGAGGTTGATCGATTTGGCCACAGGGGGAGCTGTCGCTTCGTCCACTGTGATGCTGAGCCTTTTTAATCGTAGTATTTCCTCCTTGCTCTCTGGCATTTTTATGGTGTCATAAATTAGCCTCCCTACTTTAAGCGGTCCCTAATTCTTCTACTCACAGCTCACATTATAAATGCAGATGCTTGAAAAGACATTTCTGTTATTCCAATTTATTTATTTTTTGCTAATAACCATATATTTACTATGAAGAATACACATGTTCTTGGAAAATTCTCCTAGGAACAAAATTCTAAGAAGCTGTAGCTTTTTTTGGGTTGAAAAAAATGTAGCAATTTATTTATGAACTGTCAGGATAATGGCACCTCTACCCACTTTTGACATTTACATTATTAGGTAAGAAGAACTCAGAGCAAAACCATAACAAATTTAATTTTAAAAAATGGTGGTTGTCTGCAAATATCAGATTTCATTTAAAATATTTTAAATTACCTCAAAGTACTGTATTTTTTTATGTCAGGGCGACTTGAGAAACTGCAAGTTGCTTCTGGTGTGAGTGAATTGGCTGTCTACAGGAGGGTCCTCAAACTAAGGCCCTAGGGCCGGATACGGTCCCCCCAAGGTCATTTACCCAGCCCTCGCTTGGGGTCAACCTAAGTCTGAAATGACTTGAACGCACACAACAACAACAACAACAACAACCTTATCTCATCAGCCAAAAGCAGGCCCGCACTTCCCATTGAAATGCTAATAAGTTTATATTTGTTAAAATTGTTCTTCATTTTAATTACTCTATTGTTTTCAAGTGCTTTTTGCACTACAAATAAGATATGTGCAGTGTGCATAGGAATTCATTAATGCTTTTTCAAATTATAATCCGGCCCTCCAACAGTTTGAGGGACTGTGCCCTGGCCCTCTGTTTAAAATGTTTGAGGACCCCTGGTCTACAAGGACGTTGTCTAGGAAATGCCCAGATGTTTTATCATCCTGAGGGAGGCTTCTCTCATGTCCCTGTATGAGAAGCTGGAGCAGACAGACAGGAGCTCACCCCACTCCCTGGATTCAAACTGCCAACCTTTCAGTCAGCAGTCCTGCCAGCACAAAGATTTAACCCATTGCGCCACCGGGGAGTCTAAAATACTGTATTAAGAATATGTATCATTGATTAAAATGTTGCTGGGAATCCAATAAAATGCTGAAGATAAGTATAAACAGTTTCTCTATCGTGGGGTGAAGGATCTTTTACAAGTTTATAATATAGGCAATTCGAGAATAAAAAAATTAAGTTCCTAAGCTAATCCCTTCTATTATCTTTCTCTTAGACTTATCTGTCAAGCTATGAAATTATATTAACCTGGTCTGATTAATTATTCTGAACAGTTACTAAGAATTCAGATCCAAAACAGAGCTGATACTTACCTGAGTTATTTTTTCAACTCCTTGGAAGCCATGTTTTTCAAAATACTCAGCTAAGTTTAGGAAGGTATGGCGTTCCAGATAACAGCAGTTACTAAGCACAACTAAAAGCTTTCGTTCCTAAATTAAGGAGGAAATAAGCAGAAAAAAAATACATTAATGGACCAAGAAAGATGACCAGGTAAATAATTGTCCTATTGAGAGAGCCCACGGAAAGACTAAAAAGTACAAGGGTTAAGTAGTGGATTAATGCTAAGCAGAATAGGACTTACTTTCAAGTACAACTTAGTATAAGATTGCTTGGCCAATCTCTTTTGACTGCTTTTCAAATAAAAATTGTTTATACTCACTAAAGACAAACTTGAGTCCTCATGGATGCTTCCAAATAAATCTGAGGATGAAACATCACCTGAAAGACTAGGAGATTTGGCAAGATGTTACTGCTTGAGCACTGATAGCTTGATTCTAAACATTCACCATCTGCCTACATTACAAAGTAAAATTCGTTTTAGGACAGAATAACTGATACGTTTTCCCCTGAATAAAATCTTGTTTATTTTTGTGTTCCTTCAAATGTTCATCTGTGCAGCCAAATAGGTAAGTTTAGTGTGCTTGTGCAGAGGAAAGCCCAGAATCTTCTCAAGCTGAGTGACAAAAGTTTAATTTTTATCAGCTCTCTAGGAATATAAAGAAGTTATGTCCTGGACCTTGACTATTGTATTTCCAGAAAGTTTCGCTTCATTCTGTTTCTAAGAAGGCAGATGAGCCAGGATTTTTCCCAACATGTGATAGCCTTTTAAGGACTTTGAAATATTCTGTCAAAGATTTCTAATCTTCCTCACAGAAATTTAGACTCCAGATGAGAAGGAATTACCATTTCAGGTGTCCAGTTTTTATACAGAAATATTCTCAGACTTAGTTTTTGGTTTTGGAATACAGTATCATTAAAGTATCCAATAAAGGTAAAGGTTTCTCCTTGACATTAAGTCTAGTCATGTCCGGGGGGGTGGTTCTCATTTCCATTTCTAAGCCCAAGAGCTAGTGTTGTCCATAGATGCGCCCAAGGTTATGTAGCCGGAATGACTGCATAGAGTGCTGTTACCTTCCCAACGAAGCAGTACCTATTGATTTACTCACATTTGTATGTTTTCGAACTGCTAGGTTGCAGAAGCTGGGGCTAACAGTGAGAGCTCACCCTGCTCCCCAGATTTTAAATATATATGTACTATTGTGGTTTTTTATGCTTATATTGTCTTGTTAATTTGAAAATGTGTGCGCGCATGTGTCTGTACATATGCATATTTTAAAATTAGAAATCTGGAACCGGAATTAGTGGTTAAATAAGATAAATATCCTGCTCAGAGATTTTCTTTAGTATTCAGACTGGCAACAAAGGGAAACACTTCTACCAGATTATTTTACTTACTGTGTAGTATCTACATCACTGTCAGGTTTTGTACTCAGTTGTTCCAGGCAATCAACGAATACCTGTGAAAGAAAAAGAAAAAAAAACCCACCTTTATATTTAACCTTATAACTTGGAAACTAGTAATATAAGAAAAAGTTGAACTTTAATGTCATGTTTTCTTTTATTACTCCCAACCATCACAGTGGATTTTCCCTTTCGCTCAAGGAACTCAGTGTTTAACTTAATGTTAACAACCTATACATATTGTAAAGATTTTAAAGGACACAACTCAAGGCATTAAATTGAGCAAGATATACATTTTAGTTTTTGCTTCAACTGGGATTACATTAAATAAAATGGAAATAAGTAAAAGATAAGGTAAAGGTTTCCCCTTGACATTAAGTCAAATTGTGTTTGACTCTGGGTGTGTGCGTGTGCTCATTTCCATTTCTAAGCCGAAGAGCCGGCATTGTCCATAGATGCCTCCAAGGTCATGTGGCTGGCATGATCTACTCACGTTTTCGAACTGCTAGGTTGGCAGAAGTTGGGGCTAACAACGGGAGCGCTCCCCAGATTCAAACTGCTGACCTTTCAGTCAGCATGTTCAGGAGCTCAGGGCCCCCAGAAATAAGTTATGACAGTGATATTTAAAAAAGGATGTACCTATACCATATGACCCAATTCTTTTGTGTTTTTGACTTACTGCTGAAGTCAAGAAATAATTGTTATGAAAGTACAGGAACTGTAATAGTAGAGACTAATTCTAATAGATAATAAATTTTTATCACTCTCTACAATTAGAGTTCCTTTATTCTTTTTATTTTATCTGTGAGTGTTAATGTTTTGTACGCTCTGATTTATGAGAATATCTGAGGTTGAAAACACACCAACAACATTTCTGAAAAGGGGTGAGATGAGGACAGTAAACCTCTCCAAGCAAAAATATCTATAGTTGAAAACAAAAACAATAGAAAAGAAATCTATATAGGTAGGGATAGAGGGATCAGATGTTACCATGTAGCTGAAATCATAATTAAATCATAATTAACAGAACACAAATATATAATTTACAAAAGCAAACTAATGCATGGATACTAAGCACAACTCAGTTGGGATCCCTGTGTTCAAAATTAGAGATTGCTCATTGCAGTCACAGTTTATGTTCAAGCATTATTTTCAAGCTTCATGTGGAGAGGCTGAATGCAGACATTGATACGAATCAAAGGGAGTTCAAAATAATAAAATGGAGGCTTCTTTATTTAAAGGTTTTTAAGGCATTTATAACTACATTTCCTATTTTCAATCCCTCTTCAATCCCTAATTGAATCAGATTAAATTCTAATGACAAACAAGACAATCTTCTTTACAAGCAAACTATTTCTCCAGCTTGTTGGTCTACCTTTGAAAATGCATAATGGCATGCATCTAGTGTTGATTTTGACAGGCAGGTTATTGAAAAGGCAACCCATGTGCAGATGTGATCCTAGTTTGCTTGCACTAGCTGCAGTTTGTTTCCCAGGCAAATATGAAGTACTAACTTTAATAACAAAACTCTGTGTGACCGGAACCCCAATTATCTCAAAAACGGCATCTTCCAAGACAAAGACAAAGAATTACATTTCCCCATATATTTGGATATTAGTTAATTGTTGTGGGGCTTTCTTTAGAGTGTTCATTCTGATTTGTTTTTTTATCTTCATGTCAGGAGCGCTTCTGTTGTGAGAGAATTGGCTGTCTGGAAGGATGCCCAGATTTTCCCATCCTTGTGGGAAGCTTCTCTCATGTCTGACTTATGTATGGTGGACAACACTATTATTCATTATGATTTATATATTAAATATTTTATTATTCTATTGATTTTAGATTAAAGTTTTATGGTTACTTCTGTTACACTGAAGACGGAATTTTGTATCCTTTTGGTTACACTTATTTGAGACTATTTCTGTGGTCAGAAGCAATGAATGCATTGAATAAATATATGAATGGACTGCAAGATGCGATTGCACAGAAACAACTAACAGCTGCCTTAAGTCCAACGTTCGTATTACCTGCATAATGTTGATGCTCAGCTGGTATACATCTTCCTGTATTTTTGGTTGTTGAAATACCTAAAGAAACAATATACACAATATAAATGAAAGATCTTTCATCCCACATTTGGTCCTGCATTTCATGGCCAACCTGAAGAATGTTTTGTGAATCTACCAAAGAGTAAAAGGAACTAATCTTGGAAGCTGCAATTACTTTTTTCATGATTAATTTCTGTAACTGTTCTATTACAATTCTGATCAATTCCCTGCAAAATGTCCTCAGAAGCACTTTAAGTTGGGTTGCTCTCTCTACATTTCCTTTTAAACCCTCCTGCTTAGATACATCCTACCTCTGATCACGCCCAGTGTTTATTTTAAAATTTTAAACTATTACATCTGGCCCGGCCATAGGTTTTTATTTTTTTTTAATTTTTGTGTGTTATTGCCTATATGTGAGTTATATTAATTAAATTGTTTTATTTGCTTATTGCTTTGTTATTTTACTGATGTGTTGTTTGGGCTTGGCCTCATGTAAGCCACCCCGAGTCCCCTTGGGGAGATGGTGGCGGGGTATAAATAAAGTTTACTACTACTACTACTACTACTACTACTACTACAGAGATCCAAAGACATTGTATTCTTGTGAATGTGCCATCGTGAGTTCAGAACACTAGTTCTTACTAGGGTTGCCAGTCTGGGAAAAAAACTGTCCTGAAAGCTTTCCTTACAGCTACATGTGAATGTCACAACCTACATGTGTGTGTGCATGTGCACATGTGTGTATGGGAGAGGGCAGAGGAGGAGGGAGAGAGAGAGTCTAGATTGTGTTAGGTTGTTATTTGCTGATGTAATATCAACATACAAAGGTACTGCTTGGCAACAAAGGATGAGAAAAATGTAACAGCTCAGGATCAGATATGTGCAAAAATGTTTTCAGTATCCCTATATTGCTAAATTTCAGTTTTCTACCACTTGGATCCAATCCTCCAGTACTGTAACTCTTTTGGAAGCCTCTGGGAATGCTCCATTATCAATAGGAGTAAAAATTTGTGGAATTGTCACAACTCAATAGGTAACATGAAGGTAAACACACAAGCTGGGTCGACATGCTTTATTTATAGGTTTGGTAGCACTTCTGGGAGCCTTATTAGATTAACTAGAAATGTAAAACACATATCTGGTTTTGAAGAAAAAATAACGAAGGGGAAAGTTTAGTTTTTGCATCTGCACCAAATCCAGCTGTTTTGGTAGACAAGTGTGTCTCCCTATCCCCCATGGGCTCCTGTGGGAAGGAGGGCTGGCTGCAAGAACCATTCCCAAACAGAATATTTGCAGTTCAATGCAATCACTCCTATGCATCCTAAGAACAGATTCATTATTCCAAATATACAAGAAGCTGTGATGGTTTTGGAATCTACCTTGCTATCCAGATCCTTGGATTTTTTTGACAGTGAAGATGGTATTAACCTGTACTTACACTCGTCTCTCCAGGTTTACATTCCAGGACTCCTTTAAGTGACTGCAGAGAATGTACGACACATTGCTCAAACTGGGATGGCTGAAAGAAAGAAAACTTTGTTTTAAAAAATAAAAAGTTGGAAAATGTGTATAAAAACAGTTATTTATTTGTTTTATTAATATATTTCCCTTCTGCCCTATTAAGGCTACACATATCTAATCTGGGGTAGCATGAGGCAGGAGCTTGACTTGTATTTACAACAGTCAGGGTATACTCCAAATTCTAGTCCAGAATTTGGAGTATCCCATAACTTTGGGTCATGTAAACTGTTGGGCCAGTACTGAGACAGAATCAGCCACAATGGTTTACATTGCCATCCCATTTCTTTTGGGCTCGGACAGACCAGGAACACAGGATGGCACTTACCATCCTCTACTGTTCTCTCTGTTGCAGGGTCCTCTGCAAGTTATATGGGTCTTGCTGGTCAGATGTCTCCTATAGTGACAAGGCGAGTGGGGAAGGAAGGGTCAATTCCTCCTCTCTCTCCTCCCACATCGCCCCAATTGCTATCACTACGGCAATGCAATGCACCCAGAGTCCACAATGGCATGGAAAACAGGAGAGGATGGTAAAGGTGGCCTACATGGCTAAGTGGGAATCTGGACTCAGCTCTCCCTTATTGTTGATTGACACTAGTTATTAAACAACTGTCTTTCATTTGAGTTCAAGTGCACATCACTGTCCTTGATAATATTCATATCTGTCCTACCTCATCCTTCTTTGTCAAGACAAATAACCTGAGCACATTTTAGAATTAAATTGGGGTGAAGAAGACATTTTTCAAGAGAAATTACATTTTCCTATGCAGATCATACTGCATTGTCAGGACACTGTTGATAAGGCTGAGATAAAGTTATAATCTTTACATTACCATAACTGAAATTTAGTTTTTTTAATTAAGGCTGAAGTTTTGCAATTAAAGCCCACAAGAAGCCAAAGGACTGAATGAGAATTTGAACTCAGGACTTGTTAGTCCTGGACTCATAAACTATACTAATAACAAAACTATGTCCTCACCAAGCAAGTTAAGCCTTCATTATCCACAATCCAGTCTTCCTTTTCAGCTAATCTCTTCACATCTGCAAAAGGAGGAAAAGTTTCCAAATTGTTATCTTTTCATCAAAAAGAAACAACAGTTACTTTTCTCTTCATATATAATTACTTGCCAATTTGATTTGCTATCAAGGCCTTTAAAAACTTTGCAAACACTTTTTAAAATATTAAGCATGTTGACAGAAAAGTGTATTAAGGCGAATGGATTAAACATATTGAAAATATTGTTTGTGAAACAATTCTTTCAACATATAACACTAAAATGGCATATGGTATGTACCTTTAGGAGTGAAAATGATTTTTCAGAGGAGAAACCAAGTTATCCACATTTGAATGAAACTAAATTTTCATTTTTCAGTACCAGCCATCAACTTAGCTAAAATTATAAAAACACTTTCCCCAATCTGATGCTCCCTGCGGCTAATGGGAATTTTGGTTAAATACATCTGGAGAGCATCATGGTAGGAAAAAGTACTTTCAAACCGGGAGTAGAAAATTTAGATATAGGAAGGTAAATCAGAGATGAGTATAACAATGTTCAGGGGAAAAACATTTAGGAACCTGCTGGGACTGATAAATGATTGAGGATGAATATAAAATAGTATTTTATTACCTTCAGCTGTATGTTGCAAAGTAATCATTATACAACGAACTCTGAGATCAAAAATAAGATCTTGAATGATCTGAAGCATGTCATTTGGTATTTCAAGCGCAGTAAGAGATTCATAGCTAAGCCTAAAAAGGACAAAAAAGTGAAATTTTACACCTAGCATATAAAGTTGAAACTAATCTAGTTCTAAAAAATACCATCAGTCTTGTTTCTCTAGCACATTAAAATAACTCAGTGCAAGCAACACCTAGTTTTATGACATTGTAATGAAGTGTGGAACATACTGTATAATGGGAATAAAGGTATTGGATTTGACTGTCATTTAAGAATGAAAAAACAATTTTGAAAGCAGTAGAAGTTCTGCCTCAGCAGAATGCATTCAACATATAGTTTAACATGGAGTTCAGATGCTTAGGAGCCAGGATTATTAAAGCAAGAATAATTATGTGGAGTAACTTTTTAAAAAATCTCTTTCTTTATGACACCCATTTCTGTGTCAGGCACTGATATTTTCACTCCAGTAGGGCTTTTTTTTTTTTTTTGGTCGTGTCAGGAACGACTTGAGAAACTGCAAGTCGCTTCTGGTGTGAGAGAATTGGCTGTCTGCAAGGACGTTGCCCAGGGGACGCCCGGATGTTTTGATGTTTTATCATCCTTGTGGGAGGCTTCTCTCATGTCCCCGCATGAGGAGCTGGAGCTGATAGAGGAAGCTCATCCGCAGTCTCCCTGGATTCGAACCTGCGACCTGTGGGTCTTCAGTCCTGCCGGCACAGGGGTTTAACCCACTGTGCCACCAGGGGCTCCAGAGTAGGGTTATGAGAGTGGTAGCATTTCCATCCTCAAATTCCTAAAGTAAAAGTGTACATGTGTTATGAAAAGCTAATAAAAATGACTAGATCCACTTTTCACCTGCTTGATTATGGGAGGTGTTTGACTTACTTACTCCTGTACCCGACACTCCTGGAATCTTTTAGGAGCAGCAAATACTTAACTTGCAGTAAGGAAACATGGGGATGCAGGCCAAAAAGACTAAGATTTAGTAGGTTATATGTGACCTGTGAGATGCACTTTGCACCCCCTCTGACTTATCTCCCATCCACAGTGTAGAATTATAGCACTTTGACACCACTTTAATTAGCATGAGCAGGATAGGGACTGTGCAGTTAGGAGAGGGGGGGGGGAACTGTTCCATTCTCCTGTTCACTGTCTGTAATCAAGTGTGCTAGAATTCTAGTGGAAATGGTGCCTGATGTGGAAATTAGTGTAACATACAAAGAGCAACAGTTGTTTCTGGGATTCTTTGCTTAATACTCTTCCTTCTTTCCAACTAGATAATAGTTTGAAAAAGGGAGAGACCTCCAAAGTAAGATGATTTACTCTGTTTCAACTGTGTTAGCTACTCCTGCCTTCCTGGAAAGGGAGACAGAGTCCCTGGCTAGATACCCATTGCTGTCAGTGTCTTCCTTTGTCTGAAGTTCCCAAAATAAGGCAAGTTGGCAGCAGCAACCAACAGTGTAAGAGCAGTCCTCAAATTATGAACAAGATAGGTTCTGTAGCATATTCCAGCCATATATATATCGTTTAGCTTTGGATAGCACTAGGAAAGGTTAACACCGCTGGTGTTTTTTTTATTTTGCTGTTTCTGCCCCTGTTCAGAAGATTTTACCTCACTTTCTGGACCTGTGATAATTAGATTTTGAAAAATTTGGCTTGTTGTGGAAACAAGGATTAGTGAGAAAGCTTCAGTTGAGACACTTTTCTTCATGACAACTCTTTCAGGAGTGAATTTCCCATCCGAGTGGTAGATTTATCTCACTTCCTGGTGCCTCACCCCCATTCTTAACTATGAGTTGTTCTAAGTCTGAGGTTTGTAATGCGGGGACTGCATGTATTAGGTAGCAGTGAAGTCCCCTTCCCTTATCACACATAAGCAGTGAAGTCCCCTTCTCTTATCACACATGGGGCAAGACAGAGACAAAACGGAACATCCTTGACTGAAACAGAACAACGCTTTAATTACATGAATCCAGGGATGTTTGGAATTGCTTGGCATATAATGCCAACACCAGTTTAGACAGTAAAGCTTAATAAAGCATGACCCCGTCTCCCCCAACACAAAACATACATTACTGTAGTTACCTGACTGTCTCGATAACGTGAGGCAACCACTGACTAGAAAGTTCAGACTTCATCTCCCACCCACCATAATCTCTGAGCTCATTTTCTCCAAGGCTGAATGGAAGTAAAGCACCACGAATCAGTTTGACCAGGGAATTCATTACGTGCTGAATCATAGTCTAAACAGCAGAAGGAAAGAAGTAACATCAAGAAATGTCATATAGCAAAATAGAGACATACTCTGCAACACAGGCTAACTTAAGAGATGTAAAAAGTGAGATACTTGTCATAACTGTACAGAAAAATATCTTTCTTGTAATCAGAATATAACAGTGAGTCTGTGATACCAGTAAGCAATTGTTTGGTTCAGTGATCATCATAATGTGTTAAAAGCATCATATTTGTGGGACAATTTCTTTCCTCACAATACTGAAAACATCCAAGAACTATCTCCCAAGCTTATCTTCTTCAGATCTGAAGAACAGTTCCTTTACAATATTTATAAATGCCTTACTATGAATCAGATAACAATCTACTTCAACTAACCTTTACTTACTCCAACTAGGAAGAGATTGACAAAGTCTTACGCAAAACTATTTTCTAGCTATACTAACCTTCATTGGGTGCTATAGGTAAAACCTTTTATCATTTATCAAGAAAACCTTATAACATTAAAGCAGTCATCATAAATCAACATATGACTGAAAGGCACATACACGCACATTAACTTTTGAATTGAAGTATTCACTGCAGCATACGGATAAATTAATTAGCCTATCTGGGACAGGGATGCTAGCACTCTGTGTGCTCATTAACTGTTGGGTACATTTTCAATCCAATTATCACCTGATGATCAAAGTGAGTGTGTGAACTCACCTTGCAGAGGATAAAACAAAGAGGTGAAAGAAACACAATCAATGCTTACAATGGAGAATAGGTGGAGTAAATGTAGAATAGGATCAATATGTTGAGTATGATTTTGAAAAGCAGTCTAAAAAAGTCTGAACAAGATATTTAGGTAAGGGGCCATTTAAAACTCTGAGTGAAAGGGGGAAGACAAAAAAATGTAAATTATTTCTGGAGTTGGAGCCTCTTAATTTCATCCCCTCAGATCACTCTCACGGGTCAGATGATGTGATCTGAGGGGACCACATCACACTTTTTTGAAATGAACCCAATAGTTGATGAGCACACATTAAAATAAAAAAGAAGAAGTGTGGAATGGCTGCTGATCTCGCCCTGCACATGTTTAACTTTTTACTCAATCTAGAAAAATAAACAGGTAATTTAAAGACTATTATAAATACTCACTAAATAACCGAGTTACTGTATTTGGAACACTACATGCCTGTCTAGTCAATTTCATTATAATGCATATAAAAATCTCTGAGACAAGACTTCAGTTATTGAACCAATGCTGACCATCAACAAATCCAGATGGAGTGCCTACGTCTTACTTACCTTGAAATCATTTTGCCTTTGTCTAGCATTTTTCTTTGATCTTTCCATTTGGCCTGATTTTTCAGCAGTCTTGCAAAATACAAAAATAAGTGAGAGTTAGTGAGATTCAGTTGTTAGCCGCTGACAGCAACAAACTGGCATCCTTATGAATTCCATTTAGCAAAAGTACTTGCTCAGAGTTTGATTTGTTTAAGAATACTTCAGAAAGTGGAAAGATACTTTCAATCTTAGACTAATGCTTCTGGGTGTTTTTGAAAACAAGAAAACAGAAAATACCATCACAGTTAAGTATTTTGATCTCATTTATCTTCTGTGAAACCTTTAGTATCCCTAAGTATTCTTAGAAAATGTTTCTAAATAAATCACATTTGTTTTTGTAGCTAAAGCTGGTGTTGACAGTAAGTAATGGCTGAGTATCCCTTATCTAAAATACTTGGGACTAGAAGCACTTTGGATTGCAATTTCTTTTCAGATTTTGGAATATCTATATTTGCATATAAGTGCATAATGAGCTATCTTAGAGATGGAATCTAAGTCTAAACATGATCTCATACACATAGCCTGAGGGTAATTTGATACAGTATTTTTAATACCTTTGTGCATGGAAAAATATTTGTGTGCATTGAACTAGCAAAGGTGTACCAGCCTCATTCACCTATGTGGATAATTTTGGACTTTGAGTATTTTGGATTTCAGCATTCTGGACAATTCTCTCTATTCTTTTAATTGAAAGGAAAAGAAAGTTCTGGTGTTCAGGATATTATTTATATGGGCGATATGGAAATAAGTGCAAAACATCTCATATTTCTCCTATCATACACAACACATTCAAAATAAACTTGGAAAATTATTTTTACTATACAATTCTTTCTACTTTCTAAAGAGCTAATCAGATTCTGCTTAAACATTTCACTAAACACCGAAAGCTGATTTAAATCATTCTGTTCACACACTTTGTATGTTTTAAATATTCTGTTAAATGTGCTGTGTTTAATTCCTGACTATGATGTGTAACCATGGTGAATTCATTTGGGCTGGTTTATCGATGTTTCTACCTCTGTCACTACCACAGATTCTAGAACACTGAAAGATATATTTGAAAGTAAAGATTTTTCTTCCCTTCCTTTACTGGTTTTGCTGACTAGGTTAACCCCTTCCTGTACAGACGTCTGTGGTAAATCCAACGGTTAGATTTTGCAGATTTGCTTCATGCAGAACTAACTTTCAGTTTAGCTAAATACTGTTGAAGTCTGTTGAAAAACTAGGGAAATCTTTAACCAGTTTAAAGGTGACCTCTACTAATACAGAAAATAAATCACATAGCTTTTTCATTACTCGTCTTTTCTATCCTTGCTAACCACTTCCATAACTGAATTATGTTGCAGCTGCGTTTGGGGGTTTCAAGAAAGCCCCAACAACCCTTTTGCTTAATAAAAATGGAGACTAGCTATAAAAATTTTGTCCAAGTAAAAAACAAATCAATATCCCATCTATTCTACCTCCCTGGCTGTGATTAAAATAGTTTTATGTTCTAGATGTTGACATTAATGTGTACCTTCAAAGTTCAGACCTTGAAAACTGAAGAGAAAGTGTGAATATGCAAAAGGCTGTTTACAGGTTTTGGAAAGACATTGGCAAGATATCCTTTGCTATACACTAAGGACAGGAATTTCCTCTTCAGTTTCCTCATTTTTTAGACAGAAATGCACAATTAACAGCGGCTGTAGCTGAAGTTTTCTGCTGATCCACCACAACTTGCTCTCCTAACAGGGTAGCAACGATTGCTTAGAAATAACTGCTACTGCTAAAGTGGGTGAGTGAGCGAATGGTGACAGTGTAATGAAGGAAAAGGAGCAGGAATAGCTACTGACAGCAGTAGCATAGTACTTTATTCTCAATTTAAGAACCAAAACAGAATGTCTGTGCGGATTTAAAGATGGGCTTAAAGCTAACCTTAAAAATGTTCCCAGAGAACTGGGAAGCCCTGTCACTCGAACGTTGTAACCGGAGGTCAGCTGTTATCAACAGTACAATGGGCTTTGAACAAGCATGAATAGAGGGTGAAAGGGAGAAATGTGCCAAGAGGAAGGTGTCTCAAGCAAGCTCTTGTTGGGACTGCCTTACACCTGGAAATCTATGTTCTCAATGTGAACAATCATGTGGATCAAGAATAGTTCTTCCCTGTCATTTATGGACCCACCGCCAAGACTCTACCTCTAGAAGACAATCATGCCCAGCCATGAGTGATCATCCACATTGTACTGTGTGTGTATGAGGGACATAGAGTGACTCGGTACCCTTATGGCCAACCAGAGAGAAACAGAAGGAGACAATTGCAACTCAAAGGTGAATGGTGGAATGTGTCAAAATGCTGGGTCAACCCATTCCCAACACTGATGGGATAACTGCTACTGCTAAAGTGGGTGAGTGAGCGAATGGTGACAGTGTAATGAAGGAAAAGGAGCAGGAATAGCTACTGACAGCAGTAGCATAGTACTTTATTCTCAATTTAAGAACCAGCAGCAGCAGAACCAGTGATTAGTTACAGCCATATTATTATGCACTATTGTATATTATGCTTTTCTTTCAGCACCTGTTTTATTCTCACAACAACCTCAAGAAGCAACTTAGATTGCGCAAAAGGTAAATATAATGAGAATGCGGCTCGAAATCGTGGTTTCCCCAGTCCAAGTCAAACATTCTTAACTGAGTGTCATGTGTGCAAGATGTTTCAAGATGCACCAATAAGTGTACACTAGCCTTTCCTTAAGACTTCACAAAGCTTATCATTAATTTGGCTAGCAAAAAGGAAGTGGAAAAAGAATAAGCATTTCTGAGATATCAATTTAAAGGAAGTCCAAATAAGAGAACAATTTATTTTATGTTCCTCACAGAATAATAAATAGAATGGATAAAAGCACTGAAAAATACAAAAAGCCATACTTCACTAAAGAGGCTCCCATTCACATAAGATATCCAGAGTTTCCAGAAGTTGGGGAGCTGGCTCACAACAAGCTTTGTCAGTTTTTCAACAAATGCAACTTGTTGAGGTGCCTTAAATCTCCATGCTGAAAAAGGATCACAAAGTCATGAGTTAACTTCAAAATAATTCAAAAGGAGTAATTTCTTATTGTTGACCAGAGGCAATTCAAAACCTTGCTAAAAATACTACTGTTAGGAATTTTGGGATTTGACACCACTGTTTTAAGTTCTGTTTACGTCAAAGTAAAGAGAAGATCTTGGTAGAGAAGGTAAGGAATGATTATGAAGATAATAACAGTGGTACTACTCGACATTTAAATCACTTTTTTATTTAAACCATATCAGACAGACTATTTTATGGTAATTCTGACAATAGAAAGCTAAGAAAAAGACTGCATCTACAATGTAGAATTAATGCAGTTTGATACCACTTTAACTGCCATGGCTCAATGCTATGGAATCCTGGTAGTTGTAGTTTTGCAACGTCTTTAGCTTTCCCTGCCAAAGACTGCACCAAATGACAACTGCTAGGATCACATAGCATTGAGACATTGGTAATTACAGTGATGTCAAACTGCATTAAGTCTATAGGATAGATGCACCCTGAAACAGAATGAAATTGAGAATCCCCTGAAGTGATCTCCATTGAATTCACAATAGAACCGAACTCAGAAATAGGTTCTTCCTGATTTATATTTCAACCTCTTATCATTCAATTACACATGTAAAAAACACAGAGTTCACCAGATTTTCTCAAAAAGGAAAACAAAAATAGAAAAACCCTAGCACTAACTTTCATCACGACTGGATTGATTGCTGCTGCCTCTTTTCAATGAAGCGCTCCGACTGAGATGACCAAGTGATGATGGACGTATTTCGCTGTCTAGATCCACCATGGGGCTGTGCAACAACAGACTCCCTGGATGGGGAGAATAAGACATCTGTTATCATTAAGAATATGTGGATTCTCTGCCGCAGGATCTGGATGAAATTTACAAGAGCAAATTGATGCAATTATAAGTGCTCACCCAAAAGGACCACGGTAGATTATAGTGAGCTTGTATACACTTCTTATATCTGACTGAGGGGAAGTAAAACCATCACTTGCAGATGTTGAGAACAACCATTTTCTTACTGAAGCATATACCCCATGCTAAGATTTGCTTCCGTATGCATAACCCACATTCAAAAAGCACTGGTGACACCAGTAGAGCCACAATTCACATTGCAAGTCAAAGTGTTAAGTTTACAGAGAAAAGTCATTTCCCAGATAATATAAAATATGTAGCATTCGAGCAAATATTTCCATAATAAAAGCATTACTAGAAGAATCTGGACTGTAGGTCATGACTAGGAAACACATTTTTATTTCTAGTTAATATTGTTTGGTTGCATGCTGCCTTAAATCAAGAAATAGCTTTCACTGGAGTCCAAAAGTAGCAGGCTAAAACCTGGAAACTCAAACCATGGCTGATACCGAATGAAAGAATCCATCCTGCAGAGCCAACCTTAAGATGCAGAACCAACCTTAAGAAATGGGGCTACAAAGTGGAGTCAACAACATGTGATTGTGGAGAAGAGCAAAACACAAACCACCTATTACAATGCTAGACAATTCCCTGCCACGTGCACAATGGAGGACTTTCTTATAGCAACCCCAGAGGCACTCCAAGTGGCTAGCTACTGGTCAAAGGACATTTAGTATAATGCCAAGTTTTTAACTTAGTTTGTGTTTTTAAATACATTGCAACTGTATCCTCATTTAGTTTCTGACACAGTAAATAAATAAGTCAATCATTATTTTGAAGAAAAGTGGGGGGGGGGGAGTCACAGTAGCAGATAAAATTACTATTCGACAATACAAAATTACTATTGATCTTTTTATCCAATTTCGATCAACATACACTTGACAAAAACTTGTGTCTAGTTCCCTATTCTTCCATAATACTTGTAACGTCACTTGGCCCAAACTATTTCAATCTGTCCCTTTACTGTTACTCTACTTCTTCTGCCAACATTTCCTCACCCAGCTACTACCACTACAACTTTGAGTACCAATTGAAAAGTACACTGTGAATACATTAGTTTAACGGTTCTTTAATGAGTGCTTAATAATGCACACTGGCTTTCAAGAAAAACCAATCTGCCAGTCCTGCTATAGATTTTCTCCCTTTCACAGAGTGATTTAGGCAATGGGTCTGAACACATCTCAGCGAAAAGGAATGATTACTGAACCTGGGCAAGTGGTTAACAGCAACAATGCAAAATAATATGCAAAAAGCCCCTAGGCAACCATGCTGCAATGGAAAAAGAGGTAACTATATTTTGCTAAATCACTTAAAAATACATCTATTCCCTCAGATGTATTTATTGGGAGCACAGTTGTTCAAACAATATTTGCAGAATGACTTTACACTAATTAAATTAGTGTTAACCTAACCTCTCTTAAACAGGAAAACCAAATCAATCAAGCAAAAAAGGAAAGCACAATAATTATGATTTTTTCCCCAACCCCAAATTCACATGGGTATTCTAGAAACCTTGTTTGAATTCTAAATGCTTTGAATTACTCATTTTTACATATATACATGGTTTTGGCTCAGTATCTTAAAGCTAAGCCAAATAATCTGTAAATTTCCTGAAATCGCTGGAAGAAAACAGTAAGACAAAACAAATTCATTTCATTGGCATGGGTACTTCCAATCTAAAAGTACTTCATCATACATTAAAATTACACAGGCTTCCTTTCTCAACATATTCCCACTAAAAACAAATGTTGAAAGCACTGCAGTAGCTGCTTTTATAGAAAACTGTTCAACTTACATTGCATATTTCAAGAGGCAACAATTGCGTATAGAGGAGAAAGTACTTTACCATTTTCAAACATATTTCTTATTTATGCACTGCACAAATCTCTATTATATAGGCATTGCATCAATACAAAATTTTCCTTTTAGTTACATCTTTAAAAAAAACAGCACACTGCAGTTCCCTGGCATAAGGATTTTGGAAAATATATGCTAGCTGAAGAAGTAATCCTTCAGTAATACCAGTTTAAAATCCTCATCTGATGCTAGTACGATGCAATGAGAGAATGATATGTACTAAATGGGTATTGTAACATACAATTTCCACCCCCACCAATGGTTTGTTTATCCAGCAATAATAGAAAACAGGGCAGAGAATACTCTCTTGTTCCACTAGAAACCACATCATCAGTTTGCAGTAGTACCAGGAAAAGAAAGTTTAACATGAAACTAATTTCTTAATTGGTTGTCTACCATTACAAGAAAGTATAACACAGGAATAGGGAACTACAACAGCACATATACCCTTAGGACTAATGAACATCTGGAGTAGATTAGCCCAGCTGACTTTTTTCCAAGTTGTCCAGGAGATAGCGCTTCAAGACTACACATTGCAGCCTGGAAAAGCTCAGCCACAAATCAGTATAAAAACTCTTCTCTCTGAATTGAAAGTGTAAGTGTGGCCCTCGAAACCTGCGCAATACTATTTTTGGTACCATATGCAATTGCAAGGACTGTTACCCCAGACCCCAAACCGGTTGCCAAACAAAACTGTGAGGACTTTTTTGTATTGAAACTAAACATTTAAAAGATTCCAGGAGTACACAGGTAGAAAGCCTAGAGATTTGTAATGAAATAGAAAATGATCTTAAACAATGTCTTGGTATACTCTTAATAATTATTGTTTTTAACATTTTGGTATATTATTTAAAATAGTATAGGGATTATAATTTATGATGCATGTATTATGCTTTACATCAGGCATGGGCAAACTTCAGCCCTTCAAGTAATTTGGACTTCAACTCCCATAATTCTTAATGGCTGGTGGGCTGTAAGGAATTGTGGGAGTTGAAGTCCTAAAGACCTGGAGAGTCGAAGTTTGTCTGTGCTTGTTCTATATGATAACCCACTGTAAAAAATCACATTTGCACAATCTACATTAAACATATTTGAATGCATTATGTAACGTGCCTCAACACCATTCAGATTAATCTGAAATCAATTACATGCCAATTTCAAGAGGTTTCCAACTGCCTTCAAAAGTTTTCTCATTGTATCAGTTAAGTTTGATGATTTACAAATGTATCACAAATACCTAATCCTTTCAGACTACTACAAATTTAAAGCAGCATCGCATATGCATTTTGTTGAAGTTTTATTTTTTCTAGAATATTTTATGTTGTATGAATAATTGAAAATGATTGATGAATCTATCTGTCTTTACATGAAAAAACCAACCCCAAACTTCCCATTAACTTACATCTTGCATTTAGAATAAACACAACACCTTCTTATTTAATGTTTTTCCTTTTTATATATCTTGCTTTTAGTATACATTTTTTCTTATGCATACCAAAGAAAATTTGTCAGATAACAGAAAACAGCACGGCAACTATGTGATTTGCATGTGAAGTTTATGGAAAAGGTCCAGATGTATTACAATGTAATAAACCTGCAGTCTTTCTTCTTGCTTTATACGCCATACAGTGGGCTTGCACAAAGGCAACAACAGTTGAGAAGAAACACTGATCTATAGTTGCTGGATTCTCTGAAGGGCAGCAGACTTCCTTACCACCCTTAAACACCTTTGAACATTTTTTCCTGTGCACAGCAGGCCCTTGTCCTGTGCTGCAGCCCGACCACCCACTGTTGCTTGTTGACCAAACAGGCAGTGCCTAAAGCCTGCACCAACACAAGGAGGATAGAATTCCTTTCAAACACGCCACACAGAAGACTTTCAATTTGCTGGAGCAAAAAATTAAGGAAGTTCCTTTAAGATTAACCTGAAACAACAATACATTTCAGAAATACTGCTTGTTTGCTCTATTTTAAGAAACTATGATGAACTACTCAAAAATATGTATTTAAAAAAATATTTGTAAAAAAACAAGCTTCTACATTTACAAAGCATTTTGTTGTCATAATTACGGATGATTTTCAGCTGGCAAAAAGAAACATTTTGGCGGAACACATAAGACATTTTCTGGAGCAACCCAGAAGGAACTTTTTAATATTAAATACACGCTGGAGCCAGGGTGAATATCACCAGAGAAATCAACAAAACTAATTTATACCTAATTTATTTAATGGGATTAATTGCAACAGGATTAAATCTGGATCCAAGTAGCTTTTAACATATTTGTAATACTAGGAAAGATTTCTAAAACAGTTTAGTAGATTTTATTCGCTGATGTAAAATCTGTCGTTAGTACTTAAGATTCTTTCTGAGTTAACTGGGTCAGTGCCTTATGCAAATAGTATAATCCTGAATATGCCCTTCTTGGGAGCTATGCCTACTCATATATCTCAGCGGGGAATTTTGGAAATAAAGAACAGGTACAAATGAACATTATTCTTTGTGGAATAAATAATCTTTCAGTCTTGAGACAAATATTTAAACTAAAAATTGTTGTTGATTGTTCATTCAGTCACTTCCAACTCTTCATGACCTCGTGGACCAGCCCATGCCAGAGCTCCCTGTTGGCCACGGCCATCCCCAGCTCTTTCAAGGTCAAGCCAGTCACTTCAAGGATACCATTTATCCATCTTGCCCTTGGTTGGCCCTTCTTCCTTTTTCCATTTTTCCCAGCATCATTATCTTCTCCAAGCTCTCCTGTCTACTCATTATGTGGCCAAAGTACTTCATCTTTGCCTCTATAATATCCTTCCCTTCAGTGAGCAGTCGGGCTTTATTTCCTGGAGTAAAGATTGGTTTGATCTTCTTGTGGTCCAAGGCACTCTCAGAATTTTCTTTCAACACCATAGCTTAAAAGCGTCTTTCTTCCTTTGTTCAGTCCTCCTTATGGTCCAGCTCTTGCATCCATTGCTTTAACTATGTAGATCTTCATTGCCAGTGTGATCTTTCTACTCTTGACTATTTTATCAAGATTGGTCGATAACCAAACCAAAAATAGTCAACTATTAAAAATAATGGTAAGAAATTTTCTAACAATTTTAAAAGAAACAACCTTATCTTAAAAAGTAAAAATTTAGATAAACAAAAACTTGGGATCTCAACCGAGTGCCCAACAATTCAGAAAGACGTACTTGTACCAGTGTTGAGCACAGACAAATGGCACTGCTCTAGTATGATATTCCGACTAAGGCTGGATCTACACTGTCATATAATGCACTTCAAACTGAATTATATGGTCAGCATACACCCATATAATGCAGTTCTGACTGCACTGAACTGCATTATATGGGTCTACAACAGTGACCATAAAAAGCATTTCAAACTGTGGCCATATAATACAAACAGTGACCATACAATACAGTTCAGTGTAGCCGTCCCCTGGGCAACGTCCTTGCAGACGGCCAATTCTCTCACACCAGAAGCAACTTGCTCCTGACATGACAAAAAAAATGTAGATCTAGCCTAAGACACTCTAGAGGAGGAAGAACCGTTGGCTATCTTTTAATATTTTTATTGATATTCTTTTTGAGTAAGCAATCATCTCCTCTCCTCCTAGTGCATGTCTGTCTATATTGTACCTGCAAGTGTTATAGTAAATGTGTTTCAGAATTTTGATTGTGTTAACAGGCTGCCTCATTTGTAAGGTACACTTTGTCAATGTACATGCATAAACAACCTTTTTTGTTTATGGCTCTTATGGGACCTGGTGGACAGGATCCAGCTATTCAGCTGTGACTGTACCTGCTGCTGCTATCCATGCAACATAGAGCAAATGAGCTGTTACACTGACTTGAATTCAAATAGCTGCAGAGTGAGCCTTATAGATATGGACGCAATAAGAATGCATAGTTGTTGTGGAACTAATATGTCAGACTTAGTACAGGATGAAATCTGTCATTAACACTTCTAGTGCAAAGTCCACAGAAATTACGAGACGCAAATATTCAACATGTAGCTATGAGTTCTGATGTTGATGAAGTCTCTACAATATAAAGATTTAAAGGAATGTGATGGCCTAAGACACAACTTTTTTTGGATAAAATTGACTGGGAAGCACTTTATGTTACAATAATAATAAAATCTTTTAGACAACATTTTTATATTTTGCCCATAGCAAAATGGTAGTTAAGTTAGTTGCCTTATGACAACAGAGATTCTTCTTGTCAGCTTCTCAAGTCTTCTATCTTCTGCAGTTTTGTGAAAGAAACGGATGAGTTTTTTTAAAAACACACACACAACAGTACAAGAATGAAAGCAATATGTGAAAGGACGAAGCTTGTCTCAATCGACAAAACGTCAGGGCTTAGAAATCCATAATAAAAAATAAAGAACCAGAAGGGGGAGAAGTTGTAAATAGGAAAATGTCAGGAAAAGAGAGATTAGTATTTTGGATATATGGGATTAGGTTCCCCTTTTTCCACTCAAGTTTTTTCTTCTGAAAAAATGAGTAGAGCAGAATCTTAGAGTAGATAATCTAATATTCATTTTACTGTGATTATATTTTTTTTAATTTTAAATTTAACAGCAGGAGCTCACCCCGCTCCCCGGATTTGAACCGCTAATGGTCAGCAAGTTCAACAGCAGCGGTTTAACTCGCTGCACCACCAGGGGGCCCAAGCAAACTAAGTTCTACATAATACACTTTATGTCTCTCAAGCAACAATAGATTTTAAATCTGTAAAGGGCTTTAAAAATACCGTATATGTTTTATTATTTAGTTATATATTTTCTCTACAAAACAAATTCCTCCAAATTCCTGAGCCATTTACATCTATAGGTCTAGCTAAATAAATGTGTTTTCAAGGTCATCAAAGTTGAACAATGAATCAAGGGAAGTAGATTAGCTATCTCAAATGCTGATGAAACTTCTAATCTTATGAAACAAATGTCAAGCGCTGTAATGATTAATATTTTGAGTTTTGATATTGCATTAAGATTTTGCTTGACAGTCACTGTTAAAAGAATATTTCTATTAGAAACAGGGGATGTGAGTTAGACACAAAATAGCTCCCAGCTGCAAGAGGCCTTCTTCCAGATGTACTGTACTGAAAAGCAACAGAGGAGAACCAGCTGCTCGGGTAACAAATTGCAAAGGCTTTTTTGACACAAGCCACGTTGGCCTATCTGATCAAACAAAGATAGATTGCTCACTGCCAATGAATAGAAGCATGCTAGAAAAGAAGAAAGCGTTAAGGATCTGTCTTATTTCCTAGCACTCAGACAAAGCTACTGGTAAGCTTAGTGGTACTAAGAAGAAATATATAACTTTGGCTATAAGCTTAAAAATGAACCTGATACTCTGTTTAAGTAAGATGCTGTAACCCAAATGCCAGTAATTATGTGCTTTTCTCTGCCCAAAACAGTCCATAGGAACTTGCATGATCTCAAAACATGCTTATGATTAATTCTGTACTTCTCTATAGACATCCTGAAACAACTTTGTTTCTATATGCATGTTTGTTGTGCTGCACAATTTGGGGTGACACAAATTGTTTGAAGTGCTATATTTCTCACACTGTGAGGAGAAAAAGAAAACAGCAATCAAACCCAAGCAACCATGTGATGCCACTGTGACTTCTTCCTACAGGAAATGCTAGCACACTGATCAGTATTGCAAACCTTCTGGTCTATGTCCAATCAAACTGAGATTGTAGTGCATTCCCCCAAAGATAAGTCACATGCTTGCATGGCCTTACTTTTTCTTTCCCTGCTTGTCTTCAGTGCTGATATTGCAGCCAATTTAAACCACAGTTTTGTTATTATTTGAACAGGGAAAGTATGGTTGAAACCTTGCTTACCAACCAAGAAACAATGGAAGGGCCAGGCTGCCTGCCCCAGTTATGATATCTTTTTAAGAACTGAGTATTCTGTCAATACGCTTAAGTCAAAATAGCTATCTCTTTCATTAAACAGCTCTATAGTAAAGGTGCTGCATCTTTAGTGACTTGAATAACATATTTGACTCCCCTTTTTCCAGCAGCAGTCCATATAAGCAGTGGAGTCTGAAAATGCATACGGGGACAGTGAATGCTGTAATCACCAGCTGTGAATGATCATCCTATTCACTAGATAAAATAAGATGGCATGATAACTAATGGCTGGACTGCATTCCAACTAGGAAAGAGGCCATTCAACAACTGTCATCACAGCAGTCTGTATTAGGCAAAGAAAGAAGACAATCTGCCTCCTATTTCTAATGGGTCCATGCCATCATGAGAAGAAATTCTGGCAAAACCCCAAAATATAAGGAGTATTTCTGAGATGCACTTGATTGTAAGAATTCAGAGAAACAATTGTAACTGCCATTTGAAAATAAGAAAAAAAAGAGTAAATCATAATCAAGGAAGAAACAGTGGGGAAGCAAGAGATGCAAGTAATATAGACAAATTTGAAGGAAAACGACTTTAAAGTCTAGATGGAAGTCAACAATATTTTTTTCTTTTATCTTCTTTCAATTTTTGTCTTTTTTTCCCTACAGGTTTTTCTATTTCCTCTTGCATTCAGTTTCTCTACATTCCTACTTTCTTATCTAAGATGAGTATGTTCTCCCACTTTCGATGTAAAAACTTCTCCTTTCCTAAGTTTTTTAATTTCCTTAATAAAAATATTGATTAAAAAAAGAAAATAAGATAATCAATTAGCTTACATTTAAATCACCCCAAAGAGGAAGGAAAGCTGTCCTGCCTTCTGTTCAAGGAAAAATATTTCTCTAAAGAGAGACAGACTTTACCTTTCTGTTCTTTCACATAGTTCTCCTTACAGTTATGCATAAGCTGCAAGAGCCACTTATGTTGGGCACCAATGCATTGCCAAGCAGGGTCCCCTTCGGCATGAAGATCAGATAGATATCTGAAAAAGGATATTAAACAAGTGAGGACTGAGTTGCAATATCATGCCTCATAAGCCATATTGCTCTTGTATTTGTGTGATCTCTCCCCTGCCCTGTTCTCTTATTCCAGGGGCTCTCAACCTGTGGGTCTCCAGATGTTTTGGCCTTCAACTCCCAGAAATCCTAACAGCTGGTAAACTGGCTGGGATTTCTGGAAGTTGTAGGCCAAACCACCTGGGGACTCACAGGTTGAGAACTGCCTTATTCCGACTGTAGAAAAAGAAGGAAACGATAATCCACTTGTCTGAGTCTTGAATAACAATACAGGTACTTTGTCCAAGCAGAATGGAAACGCCACCATAGTCAGGAATCTGGAGAAAGAAGGCTGGTTAAAAATATAAGCATTCTGAATTATTTTCAAAAGTGTCCTACTGATATAAGCTATCCAAATACTTCACTCATTGGAGGATAGGAGAAAATGCACTGATCTGCAAAAACAGTATCTTTGTGGGCAGTTACTGACAAAAACATTCTGAATTGTAAAAATGAGAGAATTATCTTGTGGTGGAGATATCAATGGCTTATGGAGGTTAAACAGTTTGCTAGATTATGGTGTTGTCGACTAATTGTTCACCACACTTTTAATATTGGCTTGCATTAGCACCAGTTCACTCCTTTGCGGAGACCCTATATTTAAAACTGGTAAGCTAAATCCTTTTCTTTTCCTGAAAGTGCAATAAAAGCAATACAGGTCCTGAGTACCCTCTCAAAGCCATTTTGGGATGATGGGAAGTGGAACTGAACCTGGGCGTTGTCCAGTTTGGTTTACACAGCCAGAAAAGGAGTAGCATTAAATCTTGCTTTCCTTTAACACAATGGTTCTCAACCTGTGGGTCCCCAGATATTTTGGCCTTAAACTCCCAGAAATCCTAACAGTTGGTAAACTAGCTGGGATTTCTGGGAGTTGTAGGCCGAAACACCTGGGTACCCACAGGTTGAGAACCACTGCTTTAACAGAACTTAGACTGAAGACTATTGGTTCCAGACACTACCTGATTGACATATCCAAAGCTGCACTGTTACATGCCTCAAAACAGACTGTGGAACCTAAATTAATTACAACCACAATTACAGAGAATGATTAAAAAAGGAGGAAGGAGGTACACTCATATCCTAGTAAAGCAAAGCATATCATAGTAAATCATAGTAAAGCATATCAAAGCAAGCTCAATAGTTTTAAGCGTCATTAACTCCCCTTTCAGTGCAGAGACTGAGTGTTTTGAATGATATAAATAAAAGGACATAGTTAAGTAAATGCACATTGATTTTAGCACTGGCAAGTATTCAATACATTTATTCTTTTATTAAGAAACCAAATAAGCAACACAAGGGATGTATCCAATCCCTCAAAAGAGAGAGATGAGGTGCTGTGGTTTTCAAATAAAATTCACTTTTCATTAGTATTCAAAGACTTAGGATGTGGCTTCTCTCACTGTCTGCTCTGCCTTGTTGCCATTTTCGATTTCTTCCCGCACAGCTGCACTGCCTCTCCACCCCCCCCCCCCCAAAAAAACTCAGGACGGGGGTGGAGAAAAGCCACTGAAACATTCTTTAAGCTCTTGGAGTGGCTCCCGTTGTCAAAGCTAGCTGAGCTGTTGGAAAGTGTTTGGCAACAAGACATATACTCATTATCCAACCTCGCAGGTTGAGGTTAGGGAGAGGGAGATATATGCAGGACCTTCAATCGAAAGCTTACTTGAGCCAAATCTTTTGCTGTGATGGAAAAGCAGACATACTTCCCTTCATCATGTTCACAACAGTAACACAAACATTCACAGTTTAGGAGAGCCAAATAATGTGATTTAACCCTTTTCACATTTGTGCACTCTCGTGTGCAGAACTTAGGACCATTTCTCTATTAAGAACAAATGCCAAATAATTTAGAAATGAATTAAATGACTTGTCCCATGCAGATTATTTTAGGGGACACTTCTTACCATGCTCCATTTGGAGGATTGTTCATTGTATCCTGCTTCCTTTTCTCTTGACTGATCTGCCTTTTTATCCCATGAGTTATGAAGGAGCTTTTTGTGTATGCAACATTTCAAATATGTAATATATCAAGAAGTTGGTATGATCTTTCCTCTATTCTTCTATATACTTGCTACTGTTAACTTCAGTATTTCTTTCCGTCAATTTACCAAGCACAGACAATGAGCTAGCTTATCTATAATTTTTTTAAATGTGGAGTTTCAAAACACAAGAAGACATATCTCAATGAAAATGGATTCTTGGCAGTTGCAAAGATAAGTAACATGCTTAACCCTTTCCAGGACTTCTAAACAGCAAACTGGACCAAGACAAAAATAGGGGAGACAGCAATGGACAGTTTGTTTCATTAAATCACTACAGAAGCGTGTAGTGACACAAGCACAAAAGAGAATTCTGATGAAAATAAAACTCATATTTTACACAAAATTACTTATGACATGGAGCCCCTTGTGGAGCAGCGGGTTAAACTGCTGAGCTGCTGAATTTGCTGACCTAAAGGTCGGCAGTTTGAATCCATGAAGTGGGGTGAGCTCTCACTGTTAACCGCAGCTTCTGCCAACCTAGTAGTTTGAAAACATGCAAATGTGAGTAGATCAATAGGTACCACTTCTGTGGGAAGGTAATGGTGCTCCATGCTGTCATGCTGGCCACATGACCTTGGAGGTGTCTAAGGACAATGCCAGCTCTTGGGCTTAGAAATGAAGATGAGCACCACCTCCTAGAGTAGGGCACGACTAGACTTAATGTCAAGAGGAAACTTTTACCTTTTTAGTTATGATACACAGGCTATATTTGAAATCTACATTGTGTTTTCAGAGATGATGTTACATCAAATCCAGTTTCAGGAATCAAGGAGGCATCAGAAATGCCAGCTTCAAAGTCCTACTTAAACAATTCTTCAGCCATGATATGGTTCCCTGTCACCTGAAAATTGCTCCAGATGCTTGGGGGATGCCCAGAAATATGTACGAAGCTGTATCAGAGACTCAGGGACAAACAACATTTATGAAGGAACCCCCAGTGTTGCAATGGGGTTAAACCCTTGTGCTGGATGGACTGCTGACCGAAAAGTTGGTGGTTCGAATCCAGAGAGCGGGATGAGCTTCCATCTGTCAGCTCCAACTTCTCATGCAGCGACATGACTGAAGCCTTCCACAGGATGGTAAAACATCCAGGTGTCTCCTGGGTAACGTCCTTGCAGACGGCCAATTCTCTCACACCAGAAGCAACTTGCAGTCTCTCAAGTCGCTCCTGACACGAAAAAAAATTATGAAAATTGCTACCTATACTACATTTGCAGGGGGTGTCTATCTATGAACAGAATAAACTCTTATATTTCAAGACAGGAAACTCTGGGTACAAAGTTTAGAGACACTGCAATTATTTAATAGGAAAGTGTATTCCCCATATAATTAAAAGGAAATATTCCTGTTAGAACAAAAGACATAGATAAAAAGAAAGCAGTCACCTTATATAGCGCTTCTGGTCATGTAAAGTTGAAGGAGTCTCAAGCAGTTTATCTAAAAGCAATTTCCTTAATGCTTCAACCCGAGTTTCAACTTCAGCATAATCTAGTTAATTAAGAAAAGACAATTTACAAAATGTAATGGTTTTCAATTAAGCACTGCTAAAGTTTAGGCTATTTCAACCTTATTTTGCACTATAACAAACTATAATGCTGCTTCTACTTCCAGTATTTCTTTCTTGTCACTCAGTTACATTTCTTAATTCTCCAGCCTTCCTGTCTACGTTTCAGTGGATGGAAAACCTTTCCTTATTCAGTCAAGCTTTTCCATTTGTGTCACCACTAGCATAGAGTAGTAGTGCCACAAGGATAAAATGACAATATACAGATCCAGAAATATCTGTTCTGTAATACATAAAAATATTGACAATCTACAACAAAAGAAACTTTCAGAAAAATCGTACCAAGATTTCAATGCTTTCCACCCAGAAGCAGGTTAAACACACACACCATTTATATTTTAATTTTAGCCTCAAAAGATTTGTACTAAGTATTTTTACAAACCTGTAACTGCAACTTTGCCATTTTTCTTTAAAACAAATATGCCTGAAAAGGACACCCTGCAAGTCAACCTGTTTTATGTCACACAACTGAAAAAAGGGGGTGATTCCAATTCCTACTATATACAGTAGAAAACAGTATATATTTATGCAGAAGACAGATACACCACAGAGGTATCTTGTTGGATATGTTGTTTAGATACCCTACATATTACAAAATGCTCTACATAAACAGAAGATGAAGCTGATACCGGACTCAACAGTTTGTTCTAAGAGGTTCATTTTCCTAATTAAAATTACAATTGTAACAAAATACAAAACTTACATTTTTTGAAGACTTGAACCTCAGTTTTCCCAAACAATGACTTTGCTTTTTCATAATCGTTAATAACAACATCATAATCTCCCTTTACGAAACAAACAAAAACACAAGAAATTCTTTTTAGGAAATATGTTGCGAAATGGATGTAAGACAGAAGCATTGTTTGAAAACATTAATTACCTTCTGAATGTTTCTTTCGATATTCAATGGAAGATTGAAAAGAAATTTGAAGCGCTGAAGGACATTGAGTGCATTTCTTGTTGAATCTGCCTTGTCTTTGCGGCCCAAAACTTCCTGAAACAAGGTGTCTGCAGTATTACTTGCTCCTTGGTTTTTTTAAAAAAGGGAACAAACAAGTAAATAAGTTTCACATGATGCAGAAGGAAGAAACTCTACTGCATTAAATTTAATCAAGATATTTGTCATGCTAACTAAAGTGATTAAGGTTACCGTAATGAACACAAATGTTTATATTAAATTCAAGAAACAAACTTACTGAAACAATATTTTCTAAGTGCTAATCGCCTGATGTTTTAATGTGGCGAGAACCACAACACAATTAAAGCAACCAAATGTTTTAATTTCATTGTGGTGACTTAAGTTTGCTTTGGCTACAAAGATGAATTTTACAGTTTCAATTATGCTCTGCAGGAAACCTAATCAGTATTTAACATATTCCTTTCATTGTGACAGAAAATGAAAGGATAAACATGAATTTTAATACCACTGATATCACATCCTGAATTAGAATTTCTTCTCTAAGGTGGAGAATTTTTTAAAAAAAGAGTTCTGTGATGACTTAACCTTTTAAAAATTAAAACAACAAAATACAGTAAATAACCACTTCTGCTTCTATTTTGGTTTCAATTTAGTTCCTGTAATTTTGGATTAACATTCAGTAGATTCAGAATTATTTACTGGATTACATACATAACCATTTACATAGGAACTATTCTAAGTGACTTAAGAAGCACTGGATGAAACCATTTAGTTTTATTCAAACTAGCAATTCTAGCATTTAATCTCCTTGTAATGGAATATATTAGAGCATTTTCAGATTGTCCCAAATGTCCTTTTTTTTAACTCAAAATAAAAATATTATATACAAGACTTGTTAAGTATTTGACTTTAGCTCCCTTCAAACGTGTGACTTATCATTAATTTGCCAGAAAAAGTGAATGTTTTAGCCCTTTTGATGCCTGCCTGTAAAAGTTTCTACATTATCTGGTCTAGTGACTATAATTTAAGCAAGGATGAAAAAATTACATCAGTCTCTCTGGGTGGCTTGCATGCCATTTTCTCTCGTCAACACTGTGGGTGGCCTGCTCATGTTAAAAGTAGCCTTTGTAAAATAATTGTTATATCTAAATAATGTTTAAACACTGCTGGAGTTTCAAGCCCCTGATGCAAGAAACTTTGTTTGGTCAGGAGAGCTGGTCCCTACGACATTTTGCAGGCGGGGGCAACGCTCCTCACAATTAACTGGTGTGTTAAACATGGTACAGCTAAAGCTTCCATTTTTCCTGAAATAATGCAAAATCTTGATAGAATTACATTGTATGATTTTTAGAAGGTTAAGAAACATGGATTATTTGAAGAAAACTATATCCTAATAATGAAATATTGTGACACTGAGCTATAGTTATAATTGTATTTTGCCCAATGAATTCTTTTTAAACGCAGCCATTTAAGTAGCATTACTTTTCTACAGCTATGAATCCCTCAAAGTTCAGAGAAATATATTTATTGCCAATTTAATAATAATAATAATAATAATAATAATAATAATTTATTTGTATTCCACCCTATCTCCCCAAGGGGAATCAGGGTGGATTCCAGCATACACAGACATAAAGGCAAACATTCAGTGTCTAGAAACAACGGAACACAGATACATAGATAAAGGTAAATTTTAACATATTTAGTGATGTGAATTTATTTGGAATTTTTAAATTTGAAAACGTGAACCAGCTGAATCAAGTAGCTTCTAGATCATTAAGATAAGTGAAAGAAGACAATAATAGTAGCATTTTAGGAGTGTTTCCATTATGGTATATTTCTTTTTATTTAAGCTGTATTTTGATTAAATGCTCTGAGTTCCATTTTGAGGCACAAAGGCAGGATGTAAATTTAAATTTAAAGAAATCAATTAATAAAAAAGAAATATAGCACAACTATATCAAAATACTCAGAATCAGCTGTCCAGTTGTTACGAACAGAAGAAATGTCTTTTCTTCTCAGAACTGCATTTTAAAAGAACAACTTCTAAAACAATTAATGGCATGTCACTTCCAATTACAAACAATGACGCCCATTCTGATTAAGTGAACAGAAACTTAGTGAAAAATAAACATTTTACAATAATTTTATACATATCATCTTTGTTAATATTAACAGTTAGCCGAATGTAATTTTAAAACATGTTTTAAAATTTAATATTTTTGAAGATCAGTCATGTCGGAAACACGATCCAGTTAACTGTTAGAATTACTACATTCTTTATAATGTTACAATTGTAAATATGTATTTTCAATTACTTTTGACTTTAAAAATTATTCTTTTTTTTTTAAATGCATAAACTACTTTCCAGGTCATCTTTACATTGAAACAGAATTGAGAGGATGCAGCTTTTGTCTTAACTTTTGGCAAACAGTTTCTTCCTTCTAAATCTGTCCTTAGGGCAAAAGATTACTCCATAAATCAGATAAGTTAGTTATCAATATGATAAAGAAATTTGGCCATATTAATGTTCAAGCCTTATTACTGTCAACATCAGTAGTATGACCAACTGAAAAGCTATGCTGTTCACTTCCACTTCAATATCTGCCCACCCTCACTCCCACCTCTTTGAACGTCCTAACACAGAAAAAAAAGAGTTTGTGTCAATTTTTCTGCTCATAATTTTATACAATGGGACTGCTATCTGGATGAATTTCTATAGAAAAATCCCTTATGCGGAGGCAGGTTTGTACATGTGAAAGCAATTATTGCAGAACCCCAAGAATGTAACTTTTAAAAATAACTTATTTATATACATTGATGGACATTTTCCCTACAAATCCTTTCTGACATCATTATGCACAATAATAATGGCTAAACTGTCCTTCAAAAAAAAAAATCAACCAAATTCTTCCTGCATAAATTGATCTTTTCCTCCCTAGACCAGTGAGATTAGTGAGAACAAACACTGAGATTAGTAAAAGGAGGAGCGAGCAAACAATATACCCAGTCAATTGTTTAGAAACCAGTCCTCAACATTTAATAATTACAAATTAATTAATGATGTAATTATTTTAGGGTCATATTTATTGTTATAACAAAGGAAATGAGGTTTCCCAACTTCAGCAACTAAAATATTTAGTTTCTTCATATTATAGGTTTTTTTTTAAACTTTCTTGGTATAAATTAGTTTTAGCTTTCTCTTCCATCTTTAAAAAATACAAGAACATCTATATGCAAATTAAAGAATATTACAATCAAGATAAAAAAATTGGCTTCTCTTGGGAGGAAACAGCATGGGATAAAATTTTAAAATTAGAAAAGAAAGTGATATCGAATATTTATAACATATTATTTACCTGGCTGACTGAAAAAGAACAGGTTAAAAACTGTATGATAAAGTGGGCTCAAAATTTAAGAAGACCAATTCAAATGAGGGAGTGGGAACAGATGTGGAACAAAAAATTAAAATATACATACGCAATGGATTTAAAAGAAAATTGGATAAAAATGTTCCACAGATGGTACACCACACCGAAACAATTGGCTAAAATGTATAAAACAGTTTCTGATAAGTGTTGGAAATGCCTGGAACAGGTTGGCTCCTTCTACCATATGTGGTGGACTTGCAAAGAAGCAGTAAAGTTTTGGAGGGTAATTCATGAAGAGACACAAAAGATTTTAAAAAGAACATTTATAAGAAAACCGGAGTATTATTTGTTAGGTTTTACAGATTTAGATCTACAACTGACGGAACAAGAGGATAAACTTTTTACATATATGACGACTGCCGCTAGAATTGTTTTTGCTAGAGAATGGAAGAAAGACTCAGTACCACCCGTACAGGAATGGGTGGAAAAAATCAGAGAAATAAAGGACATGGATGAATTGACTTTTTGTTGAAGAAAAATACAGGCATGATAATAAAAAGAACGAATTGGGACAATCTTCATGACTATCTGGACAATTTGCGAATATAAAAAACAAGAGACAATTTTATTTTTGAAAAATAAGAATATTTTATCCAAGAAGATGGAATGGAAGTCACTTTTTTCTTTTTTTCTTTTTTGCTTTTCTTTTCTTTTTTTGTGTTTTTTGTGTATTTTTGTAGAATTTTTTTAAGGGATTATTTGGGATTTTAGTATACTTTTTTGTTTCTTCTTTTTTCTCCTTTTTTTCTTTATTTCCTCACTTTCCTATACTTTATTGTTCTCATTCTTTCGTTGTAATCTATATAAAAATTAATAAAATTCTAATTAAAAAAAATACAAGAACATCTAATATAAATCCGTATGAGATGGAAGATTAAAGTTCAATAGACTGATTACAATTGAGGAGAAAGATTGCCGCAACATTGGATACCATTATCATATGACTCCCTGGACAACACAGTCACTATTCTCATATGACTTAGGGCCCTTCCACACAGCCATATAACCCAGAATATCAAGGCAGAAAATCCCACAATATCTGCTTTGAACTGGGTTACTTGAGTCCACACTGCCATATATCCAGTTCAAAGCAGAAAATGTGGGATTTTATTCAGCTGTGTGGAAGGGGCCTCAGACTCCCTGGACAACACAATCAGAGCAACCAGATTCTTGCATCCATGCAACATGTGTTAAAATAAACTTTTTGACAGCTTCTTTGATTTGACTTCATAATAAATATCAAGTAGGACCATGACAACTACTGGAGAAAGTAAACTTCTTTTTATCAACAACCAAAATTAATAGGTTTGCTATTCCACCCAATCTGAGATCCAGAAGTTCCCTTTACTGGAAGAAGGGAGAAGGAGGCAATCTTTGTACATCACCCCTTTCCCCAGCAGACTGTTGTGTTGTCTCTCATCATATTATTGAAGGTATCCCCCCCCCCCCAAAAGAAAGTACAGGTGACATCAAGAGGAAGGAAGAATATTACTTTCTTCCTCCCTACCCTCTACTACAAGCAAAATATCTCCAAGCCCTACTCTGGATCCCACCTATTGGCTCAGAAGTCAATATCTCACTATGAGAACTCAATGCTCCAAACGCTGAATAATAGCTGCAAGTCAGCTCACACCAGAAGTGACGTGCCGTTTTTGAAGTTGTTCCTGACACAGTGTGTGTGTGTGTGTGTGTGTGTGTGTGTGTGTGTATATATATATATATATTCTCAGTCTCACATTTTAATTTTAATTTATTGATTTTGCGAATATTTTGTCTAGTAGCTGAAAGAACATATATCGGGGACAAAATCAACAGCCCCTCTTTTTTCCAGATTAAACTTAACAGCTGGTGAAACCTTCCACAACACTTCATGTTTCAGTTGGTAAATTAACATGCATCTTCATGATTTAGAAGGAACTACTGTGACAATCTCTTTGTACCAGCCTTCACATTTCAAGAAAGGCACATTATAAATCCTGAAGTATACAACTAGGTGATTTTCAGCTAGCATAACTTACTATTCAGAACATTCTCCAGTTTTTGCGTCATGGATCCTTCCACTTTCTCTGTTCCATCTGCCTCCAGTTTTTGATGGATTGCTAGAATAAAATATCTTGTTAAATTCCGACTAATTTAATGGGCAAGTTACTGAGCAATATTCTTGATACATTTCAGCAGCACATGTCTGCTGGAGTTTTTTGGGGGGATCCAGAGAACCAGGCATTGTGATGGAAACCAGATAGTCCAGACTTCTAAACTCATTTATGATGCTATCTTGCAGTAAAATCTTCAATTTACAGCCAAAAACCTATTGGAAGTGAGGGAGTATTTAGCTTTCTAATTTGCATAAAATGTCTGCTTTGAGGGTATGCACTCATGCATCCAGATTCACAAACATATTGTGTGGTTTTAGCAAAAAATAATTATGCTCTGGACAAAAAGAAGTAGTATTCTGATACAAAGATGACAATACAGGTTGAATCTTCCTTATATAGAAATCTGAAACCCCCAAAATTCCAAAACCCCAAACATTTTGCCTCCAGGCACCCTTTTTCACACATTGATCACCCACTAATGGTGGCAAAGATCAGAGTGAGCACCCTGGAAATTGGCTGGAGGGTGAGTGTGGCATGACCCCATTAGCCTCTGCCTTTTTTCAACACAGAGAGAATGAAAAAGATTCATGGGGGGAATTTTCCTGTCCCCCCAGGCTACTTTTCTAAAGGGATGGAAAGTGTGCTAACAGGGAAGCATGTGATATATCTGCCTTTCACAGAATACTTGTGTAAGCAGAGTACTTCCCTTGTTTCTCTTTCCAACTATTGAGGAAAAGCTTACTGGGTGCTAGACATGTAACTTCCCTCCTATCCCTCTTTCACTACATACATATAGGCAAATACAGGCATTTTGAAAGAATCTAAAAGAACAACACTACCTTGTTCTTTTACTAATTTAAGGCATAACACAGGAAGATTGACAAAAATATGACTTTCCCTATTATTCTCTGCTACAGAGTGTATTGTAGAATCATGTTACTCAAAGTGACAGTCCCTGAACTGGTCCTTGTCCTTAAACTATTGACTGATAGTCCCTGGAGTATCCAGGAAAAAGAGGGAGTATTACTGTTGTAGAATATATCAGTGAAAAAGGCTGAATGTGAATGAATGTTGAGTATCCCTTATCCGAAATGCTCTGGACTATAAGTGTTTTGGATTCCCCCCTCCCCCTGGAGGGATACCTGTATTTGTGTTGAAAGTCTGAGTCACTAGAATATTTACAGTATTGTCTACATATTTAATTTCCAGAAAATGAGTATATTTTATGCCAACACATACTTCAGCAGTATAGAAAATCCTAGGCCTGCAATAGAATAAAATGAGAAGTTCCTCACATGGCTAATGACAATCCAGAGAAATAATTGGTTACATTTTTACAGTCAAATTATAAAATCTTCCTGAAATACACAGCAAGTCTTCTTTTACATTTTATCTAACTCTTTCACACACATATACACACTCACTGATCTTGGCCACCTAAAATACTAAAATTTAATCAATCTATAACATTCCATATATATTCCTTTGAACATAAGTGCAAAGATAAGATAATCAACTATAGTTTTGATGTTGTTTTTATATTCTGAGGTTTACCTGACAGAGCATCTTGTGCTTCAAAAAAAGTGCTGAGGCCTCCTTTGACATACTGCAGACTTCCTTCATTCTTTTTGTTTGCTTGTTTCTTTAAATTCATTACTGCCAATTTAAGCTGATCAAAACTAAAACCAAGGGAGAAGGAAGAAAAATAATGATGTGGCATTCATACAAGAAATTAGATTCTTTAAAAAAACCAAATCACCAAACACCAATACTTATATACTGAGGAAGACATTAGCTCATCTACTATCTTACCCATAATAATAATAATAATAATAATAATAATCATCATCATCATCATCTTTATTTGTAGACCACCCTCTCTCCCCGAGGGGACCCAGGGCAGTTTACATATCAAAAAAGGCAAACATTCAATGCACTATGCAAACAGCTAAAAATAATACAAAATAATACAAAATAATAACCATAAACTTGTTAAAAAAGAGAAATTAACATCAAATAGAAAACAGAATACGAATAGTCAAATAAACATAATTAACAATAACATAATTAACAATTAAGATATAAACCCTGAGATAACAATTAAAATACATTAAATGGCTATCATGGTTGTTCTTTTTCATGTACCATAGCATTAATGGAATACAAATAGGTTAGCCAGCATTCCGACTGAATTAAAAGTGTCCTCTTCTCCACACGCTAAAGTGCATAAGTGCATTTTCAGGAGTTTTTTGAAGGAGAGGAAAGTGAGGGGCATTTTTATTTCTTTAGAGAGGGAGTTCCAGAGATGGGGAGTGATCACGGAGAAGGCCCCTCTCTCGTTCCCACCAACAGTGCTTGTGATGGGGGTGGGACTGAGAGCATGGCCTCCGTTGACCGCAGTGCAACGGAGGACCGCAGGGATGGACTGTAGAGGGAGATGCGATTAGACAAGTAGCCTGGACTCGAACCTGAAGGTCAATTTATTCCTTCTGTCATTATTCCAATTACAGTAATTTTCTACACTCATGCTGAAGAGTATTGTAGTGTTTGGTAACACAGGATGGAAGATGAAATTATCAGGTTGTTCTGTGAGAACTAAATCCATTATGTTCTACATATCATGTGAAAAACACAGTCACATCAATCTACTGGCAGAAATATTTGGAACAGGTAGGAAAAATAAATAAAAAGTAGCAATGTTTACCAGAAAAAAAGAAAAGTCCATATCTACAGAAAAGTACCAGTCTTGCCCATGTTAATCTTGCCTAAGTACAGTTTTTTTTAAAAAAACCCTGTATAATTAAAAGTGGTTTTTATTGTTCCCTCTTTTATTGGAACAAAGATGACAAATAGACAGCAGTCTACAGCAGCATGATTCAGCAGACCAAAATATCATTCTTACTGATCTGTCATCTCCTTATTGCTGTTACTAGTAAAAAACAATAACTGGATCTTTACCTTTTAATGTTTACATTTTCTATCTTTGTACTTTTGTTTATTCTTGTCACAATGACAAATTTAGTGCCACAGAAAACATGCCAAGAGGAAGGTTGTTCCATTAATATTAAATGTATCAATGAACTCTAATGATGTATTATGGCTAGAAGAAAAGATTCTATGAAATGAAATGAGTTTTTTTTTTCAATTATAGGAAGCTCTGAAATTGTGGGTATTATATTGGTATTATGGATATTTTACACAGCTTATGGAAAATATATACAGGAATTTTACCTTTCTTTTCTTCAAAAAGTGTAAAATGAAGTACACTTTTTAGTCAACATTTGAGTGTGAACAGATGTATTTGTATTCACTGATTTTCCATTGTCTTTTCTATGGGCAACTGATGTGACAGTAAATAATAATAATTAAAGCAACAGGGAGTATGGCATCTGATGCAGTTTAAAATAGTTAAACCTAAGTCTCCCTGATTTCAATGAGAGTAAAATTCAACTAAATTAGTTTGAATCAACCATAATTGCTAAATTATGACTGACATTTGCATGACACAAACCAGATAAGCCAACCTAAAAAAACCAAAACAAAACATGCTCCTATAAGGAGGTACACAGTAAATTTGGGTATCCAAGCAATTTCACTATCATCAGGCCTTTGGATACAGAGAATAAGACTAGACAAGAAACTGAGATACTTTTTAGTGCAATTTACATAGAACTACCTCAGAGATATAACTGCCGAATTTTGAGCCATGATGAACTGGCTACAAATCTAACATAGCCTGTTAAAGGCACAGAGTCTGGGTGCAAAACACAATCCTCTATCCATTATTTTTACAAATGTCGCTCTAACCTTGTTGTTGAATGGTTTTCTATCAAATACCAAGCAGCGGAGAAGTTTTCACTGGTGAAATCAGCACTCATCCCTGGAAATAGAGCTTCCAGCTCTTTCTGTGGAAACTTCCCCCTGAAATATTAAACAAATATTATTTGAAACAAAGGCTATGAAGGTTCAATTACCTGTTACCAGGACAGGTGCCTATAAAAACACCATGCTCTTCAGATAAATACAAAGTTTTAAGACTGTAATTCTACCCAAAATTATGTATGCATAAGTAGAATTGGATCTAAATCCATCTTACATACTAATGTTTACAGGCTTGAGAAGCCAAATTTAGCAAAATTTAAGTTAACTTCTGTCTGTCTGTCTGATTATCTATCTATGTATCTATCTTGCCTGTCAACGTCCAAGTTTCCAGGTCTATTTAAAATAATGCTGAAGATTCCGAACAACACAAATTACCACTTAAAACATCACAGCAGCAAATACATTTAGGTCTGTTTTTTATATCAGAACAGCTCACAGGCAAAGCACTTGACAAACAACTAAATTTTTGTTTCAAAATGGATAAATTTCATGTTTCATGCTTCCTATTCTTATTTCAACTGAACTCTGCATTCCAGAACACTCCATAATGCGTGTTATATTTTGATCTATATTTACAATCTAATTTCATTTGTAGGCCTGATTCATATGTTTCCATTGAGAAGTAGGGAGTAAATATGGCAGTTGGCTAACTCGCATGAGTTTGATCATATAAAAGCAGAGTAGGACAGGACTGGGCACATGGAAGCAAAGCTCATGCTTCCATGGATGTAAATGGACTTCTCCCATGCCTTCCTTGTATTTCCACAACACATTTGTTTTATCTTTCTCCTGTTTATAAAATAGAGATGTTTATGGCTTAGTCACACTACGAGAAACAACATTCAAAAATTATTACTTGTTAAGAATAGATGTCTTTCAGCTATAGTAGCACATTTTAGAGCAGGTAGAAGAATTAGATGCGCCCTTTTAAATACCTGACAGCTTAATTAAAAATTATAATTCTTAGCCAAATTGGCTTATGATGCAGAATCATAGAATTGGAAGAGATCATAGGGACCACACAGTTCAACCACTTGGCATGCAGAAATACATGGTCTATGCTTCTATGATTCTAAGATTATTGGTGTCCATTTGGAATGGCTGTTTAGTGAGCCTTGAGGACATTTAGATGTTTCCCACAGGACCAGAGTATGTTCATACATTGATGGCAGACATACTCCTATATATTGCTTTTATACAATACTAACTAAACCCGGCCACGCTTCACTGTGGCTCAGTCTGATGAGCGATGAATGTGGTTTTTTTTAGCAATGACTCAGCAGTATGCCTTTTGACTCCAGCGTGCATTCAATTGGTCTTTTTTACCTTCTATGAAGTAGTTTGGGAGAAAGTTATGGTTACTGCTGGGCAAAGGAATCAAAGAGCCAGCTCTGTGGTAAATACAATTCCGATTTTTGAGTGTTGGCATAAAATGCTCTGCTGTAATGTCAGCGCTGAATACAGTCATTTGTTAACAGGAATTGTAATTTCTGTTGTTTTTGAGGAATTGCTTTGAATAATCAGTAATTCCATCTAACAAACTTTTCAGTGGCTCTTTTGGCTGCCCAAGTTCAGGAAGCTTCACTTTTCCACTTGCGCAGCAGATTCCCAAGGTTTTACCTTTATTTTTCCTTGCTTTGCAGTGCGGACAAACTGTGTCCATTTTTGTGTTTGCAACGTATTTACATGAGGTATTTATTAAATATCCGGTTTGTCTGAAGGAGAAATTAGGTGAGGGCTTCAAGTCTTCCTGCTCTGTTGCCAATTCTTCAGTTTGCTGTTGAGAAGTTCTGGATCTAACAAGTTAGTTTTTTGTTTAAACATCACTGATCAGTGTGGTTTGGTTCTTTGACGTTCTGTGTTTGGGTGTCGAGAACTGCGGCCTATGTTCGAACATGGGCATGGGATTTCAGATGATTAATGAATGTGGTAATATGACTTAAGAGAATAATCTGCTTGAGCATCCATCAGCACCTGGCAATGAATGCTAGCAGAATTTAAAATCCCTTCCTCTCCTCTCTTGGAGGTAAGACAGTTACCAGCAAATGCAAGGCACCATCAAATCTAAGATGCACCCTGTTTTTAAACTCTTCAAATGGAGAAAAAGTTCAGTTCAAATTTGATGACATACAATAATAGATAGATAATTCTTTTACACTATGAAAACAAACCCTTTTTCTGAAGTTGAAGTATCAGATATATGGAAAGACGACGATACTGTACCTACCAATATTGTTTTGAGTTTAATCACTAGATATGAGAAACACTGTTAGTTCTATTCTTTCTAATTTATGGGACGGTATGTATATATATGCCTTGAAAGTCGTCTTTCAACTTATGTCAACCCCATACATTTCATAAGGTTTTTTTTAAAAAAGGCAAGGAATACTCAGAGGTGGTCTTGCCAGTTCCTTTCTCTGAAAAATGGTACTACACTGGCTCAAACTGGCTGAAGTCCAAACATCTCATATGCATTTCTATAAGTAGCAATAAGAATACTGACTTTCTTCCCTGCCCCCACCTGTTTTGTTGGAGATCCAGCAACTCACCACAGTACATTGCAAAAATGGATCGTATGTGTTTTGTAAAATTAAAACCAATTCCAGCATTTTGAATCTGGGCTTAAAATATGTGCACACAAAAGAAATATTTAGAAGCTCCCTTCCAAAAATGAACCCTGGAAGGATGTTGAATACTGCATCAATTTCTAGCATATGGAGACTAATTACAACCTTATAAAAGCATGTACTAGCGAGATCAATTGAGACTAACAGGCCGGAGAACATCAGATAACTTCCACTAATATAAACAGAACTCTGTCCTCATAAGTGGTTTGATGATCACAGCACAGCTTGTCAAATGGCCTGGATATCAGTATATGGGAGAGTTGGCTCCACTTATGTTATGTTTTCATTCCATTCCATTGCTGAATTAACTTTCCCAAACTTGCTTACTGTCTCACATGGCCAAGCTGTAACAGTAACAATAGCAAGACAAGAATATCTGTCTTATTATTTGAGTGGTGAGAGTTGCAAGACTGGGTGGCAACAAGCAGGCCAGGCTTCTTTTTCAACATGCCATTACAGTTGTAACTTGAAAACTGGGTGACAGGACGTTCACTTTAAGCAAGTTATTCCAGAGAAATGGTAGGAAGTAACTGGTTGCTTATGGGGATTTTATGAAATGCACAGAGAATGACAAGTTTCCTTGCTTTAATTTGTAAAAATGTAAATGTGTCTATAAATATAGTTTTAAAATATTTAAACAGCCAAAAGGTAGTGATTTTTACATACACTGCCCTGTAAAATCTATTTAAAACCCAAATGAGACAAATCTATTTAATGCCATCTATGAAAAGTAACATGATCTTGATTCCAGAGGATTTTATAGGTCAAGAAGAGGCATTTTATACAAATAAAGACTGAATGGCAACCACCATAAACAAACCAAGTTACCACATACATTTCCTCTTGTCTGGTATCAGTCAGACCTCTAGGAGCAAACATTTGTACCAGCTGTATTCTGTTACTCATGCATGCAGGAGACCAACAGAAAGGATGCTAGAGCAGACTAAACAGCATGAACCCATAAGTGTTAACACGGACTTTCTCCAATGGTAGGGCAGAGGACCAGGATCTTCTCTGGAAATAATCCAAAGGCAGGTAGGATAAAATATGTAATGGCCTAAAAATAATATTGGTGTGGAAAGACATCACTCAAGCAATTTATGTAATGACAGAGTGAGGGACAATACAAAAAAAAAAAAAAAAGAATACCAAAGATATATACATACAGCCAACAAACAGAAGTTTCTATTGCAGTTATTTGCCATTCTTTTCAGTAGATGAGGATATAATTATTTTTTTGCAAACCAATGGAATTTTTAAGCATTTTGCGTCGGCCATAGTAAGTCCTATTAGGTAACATCACGTCTACAGCTTCTGATACTGAAAAATCACAATATTAAACTTTAACCTGCAGCCATTAAGTCAAAGCATTTAAGAACAGTGGTACCTTCTGATTTATAAAACTTAACAATGGACTAAAATAGTCATTATCATCACTAAAATGATTCATATATTCCATTAGGTGGCAGTGTATGACAAGCAAGGTAGACCTCAAAATGGATATGAGTTTACTAGTATAAGGATAGACACATGCACATATGTTACTGGAAATATTTCATCTTTATATTCATTTTCAATAAATTTCCAGTAGTGGACAAAAAGCACACAGAGACGATGCCTAGCCAGATGGAGCACATTTTAGTCTAATCATTATCGTCTCATATATATTATATCAAAAAGTGAGCAAAAATAGTACAGTACTTGCCATAAACTACAAGTTAGAATTTCAAAACTCCACCAATGGCCTAAATTTACTGATCCCCTCATGAAGATTAGAAGAAGGTCTTCCATTGTGCATGTGGAAGGGCTCAGACTGCATTGTAGTAAGTGGTCTGCGATTTGCTCTTCTCCACATTCGTGTGTCATGGACTCCACTTTACAGCCCCATTTCTTAAGATTAGCTCTGCATCTCGTGGTGCCAGAGCACAGTCTGTTCAGCTTCTTTCAAGTTGTCCAGTCTTCCATGTGCCCAGGTGGGAGTTTCTCATTCAGTCTCAGCTACTGATTGAGGTTCCGGATTTTAGTCTGCCACTTTTAGACTCTTGCTTGATGAGGTGTTCCTGTGAGTATCTCTGTAGACCTTAGAAAGCTGTTTCTTGATTTAAGGTGCTGGCTTGCTGGCTGATACCAAACAGAGGATGGGCTGAAGATGTCAATGCCTTGGTTTTTTCATGACAGGCTGCTACTTCCCGACAGATGTCAGGTGGTGCAATACTGGCTAAATAGTATAATTTCTCCAGTGGTGTAGGTCGTAGACATCTTGTTTTATATATATAAATCTTTTTATATATATAAATCTTTATTAGGTATATTTCAATACATATATAAAATATAAAATATATATATAATATATATATATAAAATATATATATAAAATATAATATATATATATAAAATAGGGAAATGGGGATAAGGTATATGACTTTTTAAAAACGTGGGTTAAACAGGGGAGGGTAGTGTGGGGGGGGGCTTGGGGATGGGAAGGACCCTATTTGGGAAAGCTAAGGGACGGGGGCATGCGGGGAAAAGGTTTGGGTTAAGGGGAGGCAGAGTTGGGAGGGGTTTGACTTCCTGGTCTTCCTTCTTTGCGTCTTGGGTTTCTTGAGTTCCTTAAGGTTTCTTAAAAAAGGTTCTTCCTGTAGTTTCTCCCTTCTAATCTTATTCTTCATCTCTTTTTCATTTCTTCTCACCTCTCTCCAGGGTTACTTCTTTTTAATGAATTCGTCAAACAGCTTCCAATCGGTTCTCTTTAGCGGGTGTCTGTACGAATCTTTTAAAGCATAGGTCAGAATCTAGACATCTTGTGATAATGCAGCATGTCTCATTAAGAGCCACATCCACTGTTTTAACATGGTGAGATGTACTCCACACTGGGTATGCATATTCAGCAGTAGAGTAGCAAAGTGCAAGGACAGATGTCTTCGCTGTGTCTGGTTGTGATCTCCAAGTTGTGCCAGTCAGTTTTCGTACAATGTTATTTCTAGCACCCACTTTTTGCTTGACATTCAAGCTGTGGTTCTTGTAAGCATGATGGTATTTTCAAACTATTAAAAATAGTAAATTAAAAAAAGCTGGCAATCCTAACCCTAACATCACTTATAAGTGAGCTACATGTAAATCCGACATGGAAATAGCACTTACTTTTTCTTCTCTCTTTCACTACATATTTTATGAAGGGAATGATAATCACCACATTAAATATTATTTAACTAAGGGAGGATATCCTATAGGTGAGGGTACCACAAAAGAGAACAGGATCTTCCAATTTTCTCTCATCTCTCCTATTATTATTATTATTATTATTATTATTATTATTATTAATTTAGGGAGCAAATCCAGTAATAGCTTACACAAGTACATTGGGGGCGGGTGGTTTGAAACTATTATATGAGGTCCAAGCAGTCTAAAAGCACCTTAGTTATTTGCAAAATTTTTTGAAAGAAACCTTCAGATTGGCCAGGAACACCTTCTTTGACCCTCCTTTTGTATGTTGAGGATGAAAGGTCGTAGATTCTTCAAACCAGTTTTTCATTACAACCAAATTGAGAATCTGGTTTAATATCTAAGAATAAATCTAGAAAAGCACCAAAGTCTATGGTTTATGAACACAAGATTATTACATGCACACTTGAGTGGAGTCAGTCAATCCTAGTTTCAAACAAGTGCATTCAACTATGATCGTGTTACCTTCACACTCCAATTTAAGTGCATACCTAATAATTCAGTGTGCATATCCTTCATAATCTTTCAGAGAAATACAGAAATACATCCATAATACAAATTCCAAAACACTAAAAACAGATTGTTGCCACTAACTGTCCATTTCTGCCTCCGAGGTGGCAGCTGTGACACCGTTGGCCATCATTCATAAGGAGGAGGTGAGAAGCTGGCTGCTCCCAAGAGATCTCCTGTACAGTGCTGTGTGTGTGTGTATGTATGTGTGTGTGTGTGTGTGTGTGTGTGTATACACACACACACATACAGAGAAAGAGAAAACCTCAATCTCTCAGCTCCCTAGTTTTTATCCAGTCTTGCATCTCCTACACAAATAAGTAGCAAATGAATGAGATGCAAGGGTGGAGAGAAATGTGAGATTAGAGAGAAATGTGAAGCTCTGTGAAATCATGAAGACTGTAGATCCAAGTTGACCACTATGCTTGACCATTGCACAGGTATTCCAAAATTCCAAACAACAACAACAACAAAACCTGACACTCAAAAGACTCCCTAGCATTTTAGATAAGAGATACTCAATCTGTATCATCGTTCTTTCCATTCATCTCCTGGGTAACCAAAGGAGATCAATGTATCCATTTAAATCAGGTCAGAGTTGGAAATGAAACACTAATGTATCACAACCAAGTCAAATTTTCTTTCCATGGGACACTACTTGTTTTCTGCAAACTTCAAACTCTGAACGTTTCTGGAATTGATACTGGGAAAGCTGCTAAGAATGCAGATCTTGGTACTCACTTGTCTATCTCAATACCAAGAGGATTAGCCGGGCGAAGAGACAAAGGGGGCATCCCTTTGTTCCTATCAGTGCGCATGTCATAATAGTTAATTTCATCAACCCAGACAGCAGACTGATCCAAGATACCTAAAGAAAACAAAACACATATCCTTGTAACAATAAGCCCCGTACAGCCTCGTGAGGTTCTGTCTTGGTACAGTAAGTAAAAGAAACTCTACAAGTATGAAATAGATGCCCAGAAAATGATTTAGAAAAGCAGGACAAATACAACCTGGAGACCCTTCCTATTTTGCTTCTAGCATAGAAATGGAGCCCAAATAATAACTGCATAGCTATCAGTGGTTTTTGTTTGGACTAAATACCTTTCCCTCATATTATATTGTTTCTGCTTTCCTGAATCTATAAAAATGTAGAACCTTCATTACCAAAAATATGCATTTAATTTTTCATTTACATTTCACCCAGAGTACCATGAAAGACTTCAAAGACATTTATATGATCAAACGGTAATAATAATAATAATAATAATAATAATAATAATAATAACCATCTTTATTTATATCCCACCACCATCTCCTGAAAAGTACTTGGGGCAGCTTACAAACTTGATATTTTCAAAATGTGATTATTTGGAACTCAGTGATATGTCTGCTAAATTTGAAATTAGCAACACACCTAGGGAATAAGAAAAGTATGATAGAACTTAGCAAGAAACATATGAAAAAAGAAAAGTATGAGTATAGTTCAATTTCAAATCATTAGTTTAGACATTCTGAATTTAAGATTTTGAGGGGCGGGATGAAAAGCCATAAAGTAATAACAGAATGTGTATTCTGCATAATCCAGGTTCTGTCCCAACTTTTTTTTATCTATGAGGGCTGCAAGAACCAGACTTGGAAAAGACCAATGCCTGAGACAACCTGGAGTATAACAAAAGTCAAAGTAGACAATAGAAGGCAAAATAAAGCAATGATCTACACCTGTATAAGAATGGCTTCCTGGACCCATAGAATGTGTAAAATGAAATCATACATCCAGTTAATAATAATACATTTGTTAATAAGACATTTCAAATATTATTACTATTGTTTAAAAAAACCATGCACACATTTGTATTTAAACTGAAGCCAACTCACCTATTTTTTCAGGTTTCAGAAGTTTAAAAGAAACAGTTGAAGTTCCTTTGCCTCCTGATCTTGTAGTGACAATAATGTCGCCTTTGTCATTCTTAGCTTGCCCTACTCGACATACAATTTTGCTGGCAGATATCCATTCAGCAGTCAGAATGCAACTGTGCCCACAAATGGTCAAACCTGAATGATCAGAGAGTAAAAAATAAGAACAGAAATTGCTTGATTGTGAATATTCTTTATTGAATTATCACATCACTCTAGTGCTCAGGTTCACAAATACGACCTGAATGTTATTTCAAAGACTCAATTTTAAAAAGCTATTTAAAATAATTTAAAGTGGTGGTCTAAATATTTAAACATTAGTAACCAATATCAAAGTATGCTGACTTAACCACAGAGTGAAAGTGAGGTTACATGTACCATTCAAAGTGGTAAGAACAGCAATTTGAAGTTCAGGGGAAACTAGTTCAATTTTATTGCAGTGATTCTATACCACAACCCCCCCCCCCAAAAAAAACCCCCAACAACGGTTGATCTAAATTGTAGAATTAATGTAGTTTGACACCACTTTAACTGTGATGGCTCAATGCTATGGGATCATTAGAGTAATAGTTTTAAAAGGTTTTTAGCTTTATCTGTCAAAGAGTGCTGGTGCCTCACCAAATTACAGCTCCCAGAATTCCATAGCATGGAGCCATGGCAGTTCAAATGATGTCAAACTGCATTAATTCTACAGTGTGGATCCATCCTCAGTCAGACATCTCTTGGAGACTACAGAAAACCTGAAGGATGGGTTCATCATCCCCTGACAGAGAACTTTCTGTGTCTAATTATCTAAACTTGATTTTATTAAAGTGGAAAATCAGGAAAAGTGGCTCATTCTTTAAATTATCATTTTCCTGTTTTATCAGATGGATTTTATGAGTGGGATCACAGAAACTTTGTTCCCATCTTTCTGTACTGTCTGTGTTGAGTATTTATATGCAACAACGTTTTAGTAAACCCACTGGACTAAGCCATTTGTATTGGACTAGGCCATTTGTAACAGAAACTCCTGAAAAAAAAAATCACACCTGGATCTACACGCACAAAGTTTCTCATCAAAGCCACATTATGAAAGTCCATTGGATAAAAGAAAACACCTTTCCTCTGGTGCATCTTCAAAGAAGTGCCTCCCTTCAAGCATTTATTGGCTATTTTGACTAAAAACTCTTAAGCTGTGAAGGGAAATTATTGGTGACTATTACATTTCAAGCCTTACCCAGACTCAGATGCATCACAGAAAAGCATAAATAGAGTTAAACTCAAATGGCTCTTAGTATTATCTCTTACAAAATTAATTCATTGTTTCTCACGTCTGACAAGCCTAAATATTCATTGTGCTAGCATTTAAATGGTAGAATTATTTATTATCTAAATATTGTCCTAGCCTCCATAAGTACTGTGTGATTGCTTGAACTTCATGAAGGGAAAAAAGCTTTACGTAGCTTTACATTATCTATGAAATATTTTCATAGTGCAACAGAATTATCGAAAACATTTCTGAGTAATCTCTGCTGGATACACACTGCCCCCACCACAATTTAAAACAGCTTTCTGGACTTACCTATCAGATCTGTTGGGCCCATTCCCAAGTTTTCTCCACGAATGGTGACCTTTGTACATGGAATGCCTTCATTGGGAGAAATGCCTGTCACAAGAGGGGGCTTGCGTGTGTGAGCCATAATTGTTTCTTCTTTGATGAAAAATCCAGATATTTTGCAGCCTGAATTAGTAAAACCATATGGCATGTTAAAGATTTGCACAGTGGCAATTAACAAGGGGGTGGGGTGGGAAAAGTTTCCATGTAAATGCCTCTGAAATAATATTATTTAGCTTTGCCACAATAATTTGGTAAAGGAAAGGAATATCTTAAACATGCCTTAAAATGTGAAATCTTTGATCTTTCTTATTTATTATGTTGCTGCATTTTTATGACTTAACTAGCCGTTCCCTGCCATGTGTTACTGTGGCCCAGTCTGTGTCTATGTGTTTTGTGTGTGTGTGTGTGTGTGTGTGTGTGTGTGTGTATATATATATATATATATATATGCATATATGTGTGTGCATATATTTGTGAATATGTGTATATCTGTGTGTTTGTGTATATATGTGGTTTTGCGCATGAGGTGTAATGTATTTTTTGGCTTTTGGTTTTTTAAGTCTCTTCTACTGTGCTTTTCAGTATTTTTATGAGTGATGGTCACTCGTTGGCCTGATAGGTGTATTGTGTCCAAATTTGGTGTCAGTTTGTCCGGTGGTTTTTCAGTTATGTTAATCTCACAAACGAACATTACATTTTTATTTATATAAGATAGATAGCTGCATGTTATTATTGTTTTATAATGGTTCCAGCCCAGTTTAACTGTCTGAACGTATCTCCCTCTATGAACCATCAAGGAGGTTAAGATCATCTGGGGAGGCCCTGCTCTCAGTCCCACCACCCTTCTCAAGTGCGACTGGTGGGAACGAAATGGGGCTTTTTTTGTGGTGGCTCCTCGGCTTTGGAAATCCCTTTCCATTGAAATTAGGTCTGCTCCCTCTCTCCTGGCCTTTCATAAAAAACTTAAAACCTGGCTGTAGGATCAAGCATTTGAGCAGTAGATCTAGCAACTAAGAAGATATTGTTTTAAGTGACTGCAATGGACTGACCTGGACTATGATTTTGAACCGACGACTGTTTTAAATTGAATGTTTATAATTCTTTTAAATTACTGTTTTAATTGTAACTGTGTATTTTAATGTACTGTTTGGCATCTAATAGTTGCCTGTTGTAAGCTACCCTGAACCCCTCTTTGGGGGCGAGAAGGACGTGATATAAATGCTCGAAATAAATAAATAATAATTTTATGTATTTGAGGCATTGAATTTTGCCGTATATATGTTGGAAACCACTTTGAGTCCCCCCAACCCTGGGGTGAGAAAAGCAGTATTCAAATGATGTAAATAAATACATAAATAAATAAATAAATTTGATGTGTAATGCCAACTATGCAAGAGCCTTTGGAATGTATAGGATTACCACACCACTAATACCATCTTTCTGAACTACCACTTCTAAGTAGTTTGGCCACATATAATGTCTTGGTTTTTGTGGCACCATTCTGATTTTTTTTTCAAGCCAAAACCTTTGTCGGACAAGTTAATTAATAAAATTCTGTTTATTCTAGTATCATCAATAGACCTACTTTCAGGTCAGCACTACTGTCAGGGATCATTTCTATGTGTGGTTGTGACAGTTCGACAGTGATGAAAGAGGATAGGAAGAGAATCAACTCATTTGGAATGATGTGCCAAAGAAGAGGTCTACAGATACCAAGGACAAAATGCACATCCCCCCTCCAAAAGACAAATAGAGTTTACCCTCCACAGTTGCAGATTTAACTTTAACAGATTTTATTTTTGCAGATTTGAACTTTCAATTCCTTTTCTTTCTTCTCTATCTCCCCTCAAAACGGAGGGAAGGAGAAAAGGAAGAAAGAAAGGTAGGTAGGAAATAGTGAGGGAAGGACTACAGAAAGCATAGTGTAGTGGCTTGAACCTTGGACTGTGGCTCTGAACCCAGGGGATTGCCTTTGGGCTAGTCCCACTCTCTCAGCCTCAAATCCCCTTTGAATAAATTTTGATATGAAAACTCTGTGAGAGGGTTTCTCTAACTCTAAAACCACAATAAACTATACCCCAGCCCCCATCAGGCTGAGGGACTGTGAACTGGCCCTCTGTCTAAAACGTTTGAGGACCCCCAGTGTACACTGACAATATAATGCAGATCCAACAGCAACTGTCTTTGCTTTGTTATCAGCTGTGAAAAAAGGCATTGTGACAACAAGGTAACACGACAGCGCCTGCCACACTGTCCTTCTTCTGAATAATAGAATCATAAGAGTTGGAAGAGACCTCGTAGGCCATCCAGTCCAATCCCATTGTGCCAAGAAGCAGGAAAACTGCATTCAAAGCACCCTCAACAGATGGCCATCCAGCCTCTGCTTAAAAGCCTCTACCACACTACGGGGCAGAGAGTTCCACTGCTGAACAACTCACACAATCAGGAAGTTCTTCCTCATGCTCAGGTGGAATCTCCTTTCCTGTAGTTTGAAGTCATTGTTCTACCTCCTAGTCTCCAGAGCAGCTCCCTCCTCCCTATAACTTCCCCTCACAGATTTATACATGGCCCTCATCATGTCTCCTCTCAGCCTTCTCTTCTGCAGGCTTAACATGCCCAGCTCTTTAAGCCGCTCCTCATAGGGCTTGTTCTCCAGACTTTTGATCGTTTTAGTCACTTTCCTCTGGACACATTCCAGCTTGTCAACATCTCCCTTCAATTGAGGGCCAAGTGAATGGAAACAGGGCTGTCATTTGACATGGTAACACACGAAACAGAGTGCGTCTACACCAGGCATGGGCAAACTTTGGCCCTTCAGGTGTTTTGGACTTCAACTCCCACAATTCCTATTGGCCGTTAGGAATTGTGATAGCTGAAGTCCAAAACACTTGGAGGGCTGAAGTTTGCCCATGCCTGGCCTATTATTTATTTATTTATTTACTTAAAATATTTATATCCCGCCCTTCTCCCCACAAGGGGGACTCAGCGCGGCCTCACACGAGCATTAGAGGATGCTAACAGCATAAATACCATACAAATTACAATTCACAATAAAATCATTTTAAAACATTGTACATCATCAGTAAAATTTAACAATAAATTAATAGATTAACGTGCCAGTAAAACCAAGCCGAGCTGGGAGAATCCATGTAACAAAATCCAAATTTCCTTTTCCTATTGCCATTGGCTTCTAATCGAACGCCTGGCCCCAGAGCCAGGTCTTCAGTTGTCTTCTAAAGGACAGGAGGGAGGTGGCCAACCTGAAATCCTTAGGGAGAGAGTTCCACAGATGAGGGGCCACTGCCGAGAAGGCCCTGTCTCTTGTCTCCACCAACCGCATTTGTGAGAGTGGTGGGATTGAGAGCAGGGCCTCTCCTGATGATCTTAAGCTTTGTGATGGTTCATAGCAAGAGATACGTTTGGATAGGTAATCTGGGCCAGAACCGTTCAGGACTTTAAAGGTTAAAACCAGCACTTTGAATTGTACCCGGAAGCTAATCGGCAGCCAGTGGAGCTGGCGCAACAGAGGAGTGGTATGTTCCCTGTACGCCGCTCCAATTAATAACCTGGTCGCCGACCGCTGGACTAATTGAAGCTTCTGAGAAGTTTTCAAAGGCAGCCCCACGTAGAGAGCGTTGCAGTAGTCTATTCGGGATGTAACCAGAGCGTGGACCACCGTGGCCAAGTCAGACTCCCCAAGGAATGGGCACAGCTGGCGCACAAGCTTTAATTGTAGCTTTAATCATTCTACACTGTAGAATGAATGTAGTTTGACACCACTTCAATCACAGTGGCTTAATGCCATGGAAATATGAGAGGGCCCAACACTATTTGGCAGACTTTGTGGAACTACAGCTCCCATGATCCAACAGTAGTTAAAGTGGAGGTCATTCACCACAAGCCAACCTAACAGGATTGAAAGGGAGGAGTGCAAGGCTTGTGAGACTGGGCTCTGCTGAGAGGTTGAACACCCTTTCAGGCAGCCTCCATTAATGACAACTTGTTGGGGTTCCTCCTCTCCAGGGAAGTAGTAGCCAGACAGGCCTGACAGAAAGCCAGGAGGTATAGCGAGCAATATATAGACTGTGGAAGGATGCGAGGCCTACTTATTTACAAGGAAGCTGAGAGATAAGAGCTGCCCCTCCCCCCTTTCTCTCTCTGTCTCTCTCTTAATAAAATGGTTTGTTGACTGGCAGGAGCGCGAGGCCGCAGCCCCCTCGCGCGCAGGTAAGCCCCGCCCCCACCCCGGCCGCCTCGCGCGCCAACCCAATGGTCCTACCTAGCGCCGGGCGCGCGACTGGTGGGAGAAGCCCTGGGCCGAGGGAATCCCAAGGGAAGGGCGGGGCGGAGGCCAAGCCACACGTGACGCAAAGTCGGCCGAAGAAAAAAAGGAGGAAGGTTTGTCCAAGCTCTGTCAATCCGATTGGCTGAGCGCGATGTCATTCAGGCAGCCCCAGCCAGTGAGAGCAAAAGGTCCCTCCCTTCAAGGAAGAGTGAGGAATCAAGCTTCGCCGGCCAGGGAAGAACGCTAAGTCAATCTTGGTTGGCTGAGGCCGGGCTGTCATTCAGGCAAGCAAAGCCAATCAGAGGAGAGGGTTCCGCTCCTGGAGGAAGGGCGAGGGAGCCAGAAGTTATAAAAGGACCGTTCCTACAGGCTAACGTTCAGAACAGCTGGGGTCTTACTAAAGTTATGTTGTGTTGGTAGCTCTGATCTAGGGAGCTTTACAGGAAAGGGTTGCCCCTTGCCTTAATTAGTGTGAGTTGTAGTTTTACAAAGTCTTTAGCCTCCTTGGCGAGCAGATGTTGGTGCCCCACCAAACTACAACTCCATGGATCCCATAGCATTGAGCCAGGGCAGTTAAAGTGGTGTCAAACTGCATTAATTTAGTAATGTAGATGCACCTTTGTTACCTCATCACCATACCCATAGGTTTTACATTACAGTAGTCTTGCTTATCCAACATAAATGGGCCGGCAGAACTTTGGATAAGTGAAAATGTTGGATAACAAGGGATTAAGGAAAAACCTATTCAATGTCAAATTACATTATGATTTTACAAAAGCACCAAAACAACCTGTTTTACAACAAATCGACAGAAAAAGCAGTTCAGTACACAATAACGTCATGTAGTAATTACTGTATTTACGAATTTAGCACCAAAATATTGCAATGTATTGAAACAGCTGTGGATCTGGGTGGGAGGCAGACTGCATTAGTTCCCGCAAGCTAACGTAATACAGAATGTTGGATGAGTGAAGGTTGGATAAACGAGACTACTATGGGTGTACACAGTTTTCTAGTAAACCTGAGGTTAAACGAATCCCATGTAAGATATATGGACACATACATAAATTGTAATAATGAAGTGTTGTATGTGGACACAACATATCTCATGAAAGCGGTTCATTTATATTTTTTAAAAAATATATGATTTGCAAGATAACACACTTCCAAGATTTTTGTGATTTCTCATTACGTTTGCACAACACACACTGCAACCAACACACTAATGTGTTATGACACATAGTTTGGAAAGTTCAGGTCTACTGAATTCATAGGTTGGGAAAATTAAACATTGAACAGCATCCTGGAGGAATTTTGCTACAATAGTAAAATTCCCAAGGGAATCATAGTCCCAAAAGAGAATTCTCCAATATCTAACTTTATTCTGGAAATTGCCTGACAAATATTTTTTGTCAAAACTTATGTTTAGTTCTATAACTGCCAGAATACTTCGGCCTATATCAGTGGTTCTCAACCTTGTTTTTAACCAGGGACCACTCTCCAACATTAGTACCAAAAGGGTTACGAATCGGTTTGTGATCAACTTTAGATTTGGTTTGGTTATTTGGGATGCTGATTCAGAAAATTGCATTGGATAGACTACATCCGCTCTGGTTTCTGATACAGAACATATGCCATTCAGTAGTCGCCATCTGCTTGCCCACAAAAAACCATATTTAATAATGTAGAGGTAATATGGTAGTAGTAATCTTTTGTGGGTAGTCAGCCTCTCCCCTTCTGACATCCCTGTTAGCTCAGCACTATAAGAGGGTTTTCCGAGACCAGTTGCTCTTGTTGCTGTGTGGTTTCAAGGCAATGGTGTAATAATGGTGAGGCCACCAACCATATTTTCGTTCTTGAGGACCACTGGTGGTCCATGGACCACAGGTTGGGAACCACTGGCCTATATAGCTACTTCTTAAACCTTGACAGACTAGACAAGCCATTTGCCCAGTAGTTAACATTTACTAAGTGTTATCTGACTATTGTGTAACTTGTGAGTGCTTTACTTAGAAGTGGGAATGTAGAATAATCACAGTATGTCTCAAACCCACACCTGTTGATAGACTCTATAAGCTAGCTGGCTTGGCTCCCCTCCTCATGTGCAATGGGAAATTGCTGCTAACTGTAAGAGAAATAAGATTGAACACTATGAAAGCCACCCACTGCATGGCTGTCAGCCTCCTCCCAGGAGACTCAAATCAAGGGAAAGCTTTATGAGAACCTCCATCCCTCTTAATATTTCCCCAGCAACAGCAAGAGTAAAATGCCAACTGGATAGCCCACTACAAGGGTCCGCCTCCAGGGGCAAACCAAGAATGAGCAACCCCAAAATCCCTGAACAGACTCAGAAGTTGAGTGGGCAGATCAAAAGACAACCTGGCTATATGGCAGTACTTAGAAGACTTCCACCTTGTGCGACTGTGGAGCAGAACAAACAACTCCACATCTGTATGCTTGCCCACAATGCCCTGTCTCATGGACAGAGGAAGAATTATTCAAAGCTACAGACAATGCAGTCGCTGTTGCCCGTTTTTGGTCTAAAATTATTTAGCTGCTTGTGCTCCATTTTATCAGTTTTATACTAATTTATGCAATGCTTTTAACACGAAATAAATAAATACTTAGAAGTTCTGTAGTAAAGAGGACATGTGTGTAATATATAGCAAGATGAATGTTTTTGTTCTTCACTAGCTGATGTCTGTTCTAACCCACTTTTCCCCGTAAACTATATCCAAGGACTGTCTAATGTAACTAGATACCCTATACATTTGATCTATGGACTATCAGAGTGTGTAGTTATTTCTTAAGATTTTACATGCATTCACATTAATTGGTCTTCTATCACAAGGGAAAAATGGATATACTATTAGTGATTTATTCCAGACTGTAATCTGTTATCTGATACATACAAAAATGAACATTAGACAACAATCTATAGGCTTGGTGACCTTTTGTAACTTGTTCTAATATAAGAGTTTTCTTTAAAATGTATATTTTACAAAATTACAATATGTATTAATTTATTTTTAATAAAACCTCAGTTCTTCATTCACTATATGCATCTCCAACACCTCTCCAACATGCATCCGATGAAAAGGGTCATTTCTTACAATAAAACTTCATATCACAATAAATGTGGGGTCTCCAGCATTACGCTGAGTCAAGGGAGAGGGGGAAATGGATTCACAGTCCAGACAGTTGTTTTTATGAACAAAATAGCTGAGTCCTACACTTTGTGAAAAATTACTCCATCTGTTGAAAAACGTTCTGTCTCTCTGATTACTACAGTTTAGGGAGGAAAGGCCAATAATGTGGTTCCATTATTCAGTTCCTAACAAAAATATCCAACATTGCACGAGTTGGAACAATCCTTAATTTGAAATGCTAAAAATTTAAAATTATGTGACTACAGTATTATAAAGGGAACTTGTCACTTAGTAATTGAAAACTAATGCAGGATTCAGACACAGATATATATTGCAATTAATGTTTTAAAAAGAGCACCAGTATTGCAATAGTGGCTTAGAATATTTATTTATTTACTATATTTATATCCTGCTCTTCTCATACTGAAGGGAACTCACAGCGGCTTACAAATTGGCAACAATTTAATGCCATATGAACAAACATATAAAAACAATAAGCATATGCATCAAACTATAAAAGTTAAGGAAAAAATCTATGCATCATAAACCAATTGTTATTTATGATATTACTCAATATAGCAATGTATATTGAACTGTCTTCTGATGTATTATTTTAGAGCAAAATGCAAAGATCTATTTTATTACAATTCAAGGTGGAAAAAGTGCACCCCCCCCCACAGATGATTTTGTGGTCTTCAATTCCTCCAGACCTTTTTTTTTTTTTTGTGACAAGAGTTTTCAATGCTTCCATGTACTGTCTTATATTTTTGAGAGTCAGAAGTGGAATTACAGCTACAGCTACTGTGCTTTTGGTTTATTTTACTGTAATCCACATGACCCCTGGAGGGTCCTAGGTCTAAAATAGTCCTCACTCTTGCTACAGACAGTGGCTGAATCAAATGCTATTCCCAGCTAGAGTACATTCACTTACTAGTTTCACATCAAATCTATAGAATTAATGGAGTTTGATACCACTTTAACCATCAGGACTCAATGCTATGAAATCCTAGGAGTTCTATTTTTTTCTGCCAAAGACTGCTGGTGCATCAACTCCCACAATTCTAAAAACTTGATCTAAAAACTTGACTTTTCTGATGTGCCTTTGGAGAGTGACCATATATTCCATTCCTGTTGTTTCACCCACAGTGTTTTCCTCATATTGCACTTCCCCCACCTTATTGAAAGTCTAACTCCACTGTTCCGTCCCCTACGAGCTCCTCTCCCACAAATATACCTTTTTCATTGCTATCTCATCCAGAGTTTTATCACTTTATGTCGTGCTTTTGGCTCGCCCACTGTGTTTCATTTTCTATTATGTTATTTTGCACTGCTTATTTTACTTGAATGGCTTATTTATTATTTTTGTTATGTTATGTTATTTTTGTTGTTTATATTTTATTTTGCTGTGGTGTATTGCTGGGCTTGACCTCATGTAAGCCGCTTTGAGTCCCCTTTGGGGAGATGGCGGCAGGGTATAAATAAAGATGATGATGATGATGATTATTATTATTATTATTACGGCAGTTAAAAGTGGTGTCAAACTACATTAATTTAATAGTGAACGATGTACCCAAAGTGTCTATTATAACTGAAAATAGTAATTGGATTTAAGCCTGTAGGTCAGTGGCTCCCAACCTGTGGTCTGCAAGAGTTGAAATATGATCTGTGGCCTCACTGTTACTACACCATTGTGATGAGAGTGACTGGTCTTGCAAAATACTCTTATAGTGTTGAGGTTTATTGTTCTGTCACGCACTGGGCCTGTAATAATTGTCTTTTGAAATAGGTCATGCACCTTGTGCCCAGCGGGAAGCCAGGG